GAAAGAGCGAAAAGTTTGTTTGAGATTTCCAGCAGGGATTCCCCTCAAGCAACTCCGAATCATGTGCATCACCGATGCGGGATGGGGGACTAGGTCAAATGGTGAAAGCCAAGGTGGCTATGTCTTGTGCCTCACAGTTCCAAAAATGTTTGAACGTGTGCGAGCCCCATGTTGGATAGTGGACTGGCAGAGCAAGAAGCTTCGCCGTGTTGTGAGATCATCCGTTGCAGCCGAAACCCTAGCAGGACAAAACGGCCTTGGCGCAATCGAGGCATTCCAAGCGTTGATGTTGGAAACAATCCATGGTGTTACGCCAAAACAGTTCCGAGAAATGACACCAGATGATCCAGCTGCATTGGTTTTAGATAGCAAAGGTTTCTATGATGCTGTAACCAGAAGCTGCTGTAGCCAGGCCATAAGCCAAGAGCGTCGTTTGCAGATCGACTATTCAATTGCAAAAGAAACCACCATTAAGCAGAATATAATTTTGTTTTGGGTGAACAATTTGCGAATGAGTGCCGATTGCTTGACAAAGCTGAAGGGTGACACAAAACCATTTTTCCAAATCTTGGAGCAGTGTTCATATGAAATTACCATGAGTACCCAATCCGGGAAGAAGGAAAGAAAGAACTCATGTCTCCAAAGTAGTGTCAGCAAAAAGGGCCAAAAACTTTTTCCTCTGTATAGATGCCAGAGCCTCTCACTTGCAAAGCCTGTTATAACGGTCATAAACCGTGGGGTAATAGCATGTCATAGACATAATAGTGGGGTGATAATCTGGTCCCTAAGTTTAGCCCAGTCAGCAGTGTACAGAAACAGTTCATGCACAGACTCTGCCAGCTGAAGGGTTGTCAGAACGGTGTGAACGAATGTTTTTGCCGCCTCTTGCAGCATCCGACATTTCTCAAACCTGCTTTTTCCAAGCGTTGCCGACTTTGTAGACCCATCTCCCAGTTTGCCATGTCACAGCCCAACAAGAAGGCCATGACGAGCGCACTCGAGACGCCTCTCAATGATGGTGAGATCGTTTTCATTTCGGGCCTGCTGCATCGCGCCATTGCCTTCAACCAAGGTGCCAAGGTGTTAGCCTCATTCCGAGCGTCACTGGCCCCGAAGCAAGAGCATGCGCCGGCCACCTACATGATTGAAGAGATGAAGAACATGTATGAAGCTGGAAAAGGATATCCAGAGGTTGCCTCAGCCGGGATGACAGATGCATCCAAGCGTCGTTTTGACGATGCGCATGAAGCCGAGAGCCTAGCCTCCTTCTCCGATTGGAGCGCAGTTCATGAATGTGGAGCTGATGGGCCGCCTGTGCCTGTGACTCTCAAGCCCTATACGGAGATGATGTTCAACCATGTGAACAAGCATGTTCAGCCGCCTGAGAAGGACATGACCTTCAGTCAGTGGGGAAAGACAGAGTGCCAGTTGCCGAAAGTTCAGGACCTCAAGCTGAACTACAAGCAGCTGATTTTCAAAGCCAACTCAGATGCAGAACTCCGAGACTATTTGGTGTGGTTGAAAGGCCGATTTGGCACCAACGAGACCGGAGAGCCCAAGGGTAAGGTCACTATGGCCGTGGACCTTGCGATGTATCTGGAAGCTGTTGGATGGAGTCCATGCAAGGACAATGGATCCACAGCTGTTGCTTTCAGTCGAAAGTTCAAGGACTGACGGCGAAACTGGAAGAAAGAAAATGGTGTGGCAGCCTCCCATGGAGGGCGTGAAAATCTGGAAGAATGACATTGGAGTTGTCATGCATGTGCCAGAATATAACATGGTCGCTGCCGCATTCATTATGGTCCAAAGGGCCCTTGAGCCTTGCTGCAAACCGCAGCGAGGCTACTAACGCAGGTGGAGATAGGAAAACGTGGCGCTTTTGCGCGATTCCCCTAGCCGATTCATCATATATATATATATATATGTCAATGGGGGATGTTCGATTATCACGTCGGATTGCTGGAGAGTATGGATGGGTGGCTCAACCGCCAACCAAGCATCCAACCAATCATGCTATACACATATAATTATATATAATTACATACATTACATTACATTACATTACATTACATATTACATTACATATTGCTTTACATATTGCATTACATATTGCATTACATATTACATTACATATTACATTACATATTACATTACATATTACATTGCATATTACATTACATATTACATCACATATTACATTACATATTACATTATATATTACATTATATACTACATTACATTACATTACATTACATTACATAATTACAACTACATAATTACATAATTCAACAATTACATACATACACACGATGCACGCACCCACATATTTATAGTCACATCACTTTATACATCTATGCCATTTATGACCAACAGCACTGTAGCCTTCCGCAGGAAATCATGCAACAGGAGGAGCCCGAACATGTGCCTGCTGTGGTGCAACAGGACGAGGGCGCGGCTAGCGGGATGTCGGATGAAGTTCATCCTGAACTCTTTGGAGATCGGGAGATCGGCAAATTTGATTTGATGTGATAAACTATGTTTTGTTTTTTATTTTTTGATGACCAACTATTCAACTATGATAAAGGGAGTTAAGATTAGGTTTTATATGATGTTCAGTTGATTTTTTATGGTTTCCTATGATTTTCTAGGATTTGTTCTATGATTTTCTTGTGACTTTGATCATTTTCAGCCAGCTTTGAAGTTGGACAAAAAAAACATTTTTCCGGGTTGTTTTTTCCGATCAGATCCGGTCCCATCAGGAGCAATGGGCATCGACGAATTGGGAGGGCGCAGGTGCCCCATGGTTGGGGGTTTCCATAGTGGGGACCTCCAATAGCTGGATGGTTTATAATGGAACATCCCATAAAAATAAATGGATGAATAGGTAACAGGAGTACCCCTATGACTTAGAAAACCTCCATTGAAGTTATTTCAATGTCCATGATTTTCCATGCAGGATCGCGCAGGTAAACGTCTAAAATCTTCCAAAATTACTGTAATTAATGTTCTGCGTGGGACTCAGGCGTGGCCAACAGTCTCCATGTCAGGCCAAGGATTTTACACATGCCCAAGCTTCAGAACAAAAGACACTGAGTTATTTTAAGGGTGGCCGGTCGCATGAATCATGAATCATCAAAATGGGGATGCGCTTGCATTGCTGGTTGGTGAATTGAAACATCAATCATTCCCTGAGGCTGCATAAAATGTCAATTCCCGCACTACTTGTTCAACCTGGAGTTTCCCAAATGTAGAGAATCTGCGGCACTACTGTAGTGATGTAGTGTTTACATGGTGTTGACTGCTTGTGTTCCCCACGTTTGGTTGGGTAAAGTAATCATCCAGTGTGGCTCTGGCAACCTTCCTAATCAATCAAAACAAACCTGTTCCATTCCCACTTATATCATATGTTTATGTATCCATATGTGTAAAAAAACACACATCACACATCAACATCCAAGAATTGGAGCAATTGAAAGCGGTTTTACTTGAAGTAGATTGTTTATCATTGTTTCATGGTAAAATCACGGAATGAACCACCCCGGAAGCATAGTTTTCCATAGTTTTCCATGGGGATCCATGAGGTACTGGTGGCAACTGGGACGACATGACCCATGGAGCGGGCGATGCATCTTGGGACGCGCCGGCGGGAGCTGGAGGTGCCCGAAATGGTGATGTGATGTTCATGGTGGTTTTTGCTAAGGGATTTAAGCACCAATGAGAAGACCAGGATGAGCCGTAGATGTGATTTAGTTGTTTTTGTTGTGATAATAGGATATATAAGGGAAATTGTTGGTCATCTAAAAGTTTGCTATGGAACTAATGGAACATGGCCCATCGATTTGGATGATATTTGCGGATGGTGATGTGGCTATGTTGATTTACTGGGGGGGTACCTTGAGCAAATCAGAGAACATGTTGCTTGTTGGAGAATTTAAAGTACTTGGGATTTCTGTTGTTTTTTTTTGGTTGGGTGAAGAAAGGAATATGATATGCGTGGGTAATTCCTATAGTTGTTTTTTGCCTCATATGTTTGGAATGTTTCGGCTATATATATATATGTTTGCCGATTATTTTTGATTTAATATTTGATTGGTTTCAAATGATGATGTTGAATTGTTATGTATAGGATTAGCATAAAGTTGGGGCTGGTGTCGGATATTTTGAGACTGTGCGACCCGGGCTTTCAATTTTCCAGGAAATTCCTGGAGGCTGACTTTCTCAGCAGCTGTGTGGCGCAGAATGTTTAGGATGGTTCTTTGTAATTCTTTGTGTAGGAAGATTTTCAAGATGATATCATTTTAATTCTATGCTCTAAGACATGTTGATTTCACATTAAATTATACAGATTCATAATTTAATATATCAAGTACGTTTATAGTGGTGGCCAACAGGAGGTCATTTTGGATTTTGAGATGCATGTGGCTGTTTTGAGAATAAGATGGTATGTTTCGTAGGTACGTAGAGGGATCAAGTGGCTGGCTCTCCACTTTTTTGCTGACTTTGAGGGGTATTGTACAGGACTTGCTTGCCAATTTGGTTTCAGAGTATCAGATTCAAATGGACAGACTGCTGCTAAATGTTGTTGTGTGATTTGATACGGTGCTTGCATCCCTATCACCCACTCCTTACCACTCAGCCGCAGGTGATGATTGGAGCGCTCCCGCCCAGCAGGCCTGGTAAGCAGAGCTGAGAAATCTGCCGTTGAGCCACCCCAGGGGCGCGGGAGGACGAACAAAAAACTGGGCGCGGAGCCGCGGAGCATGGCGGGGAATGGATGGCCAGGATTTTGAAGGGAGTTTCTGATGTTTCTTTCTCCCAAGTTCAGTACATTTGCAACCAGCTGGATCCAGTTGGTCAGTAGATAAAACTAAGTCCCAAGTCCATCTAAAACCGTACAATTGGCACTATGAAAATCTATGAAATCATATTCTCACAGTCTCACCCTTTTTTTTAAATGACCATTTCTGCCACAGTAAGGCCATGGATCCCATACTCCCGAGGTGGGAATCTCCTTCGGTGTTGGCTACTCCAAGTTTCAGGCCTGGCTGTGGGAGGTTGCTGGGGACATAACTGGACGTTGAAGCCTAGGCCTAGTTCTTTGCACAAAGGGCTAATCTTGGGGTTACCTCGGCCCATCTGTATTTCTATATGTGCATATAGAACTGTACATATAAAGGAGTTTATATATTCATAATGGTATATATGTATATTGCACCTATGTGACCTGTTTTCAAAGCTGCATGACACCTATGTTTTTGCGCATCCATGAGCGAGAACTTCTTGTGGCCCCCTCCCCCCGGTTGACCATTCCGGGATGACTCAGATGGGATGACTCAGACATGATCAAAATCAGCGGGAGCTAGTTGGAGCTGCGAATTGAGTTCATCATTGTTCATGTGGGGGTTTCTTTGAATGGGGGATCCCCAACATCATAGGTTTCCATACCAAGTCATGATCATCTATGACTTGGATGATTTTTTTAGAGGGCACAACTCCATTCATAAATTCATAGACTTAACTGCGGATGAGTCAAAACCTATTGTTACCATATTTGGGAATAACCATGCATTAACCAGCTATTTCAGGGTACCTAGGGTGCCAGGGTTTTGACTCCAACTGGTTTCAAGGGTTTACCCACAATCTTAAGTAGTTAGGTATACCCTCTGGTTATTTAACATAGCCATGGAAAATTGCCAAGTTATAGATGATTTTCCCATTAATACCTCCATTTATAAGAGATTTTCCATGGCCATGTTGAATAACCAGATGGTTGTTCCATTCATCCCTGTGTTTCCCAGCGAACGGAGCTGATCACATGGGCCGTCGGTCGCCGCCAGGGGCATGTGGCTGGTTTGCGCATGCGCGTGGCCATCCAGACGTCGCTGAGCTAAGGGATCCAGGGGATCCAGGTTGGCCCCCTAGAGTCCCTAAGTTGGTGCAAGTTGAATTCCAATATCTATAGTCTTTAGGGGATATGAATCACTGTTCATATTAGTTCATGGGGTTTATAAACCAACTTAATTCATGATAACTTGAGGAGCCCGCCTTGGTCCACCTTGTAGATTTCCCCAATGGGGCGCATTAGGGAGCAAATTTTCAAGTTTCCCAGGTAGATGGTACCCTCTGGTAATCTCTGGTATTTTGTTAAAGTGCATGGAACATCACCATGCTTAAATCCAGAATATTGTGATATATTGTATATATATATATATATAATCATGCAACTACATTAAATGAGCCACGGCTTCAATAGCTATGTTAAAATACGGGAGGGAAGATTTTTTGGGGATGCCCCGATTTGAAGCCCACAAAGATAGAGCTGATTTTTCCACATGAGGGCTCCAAGCTGAACAGGGTCAAAACCTTGGTTTCAGCCTTTCAGCTATCAAACAAATACTGTCGACAACCCTCAATTCACAGAGATAATTCTTTGCCACGTATGATATATAGTGTGTGTGTGCGCGCGTAGCATAGGATTAGCATGCAGGAAAAATGTAGGTGTTCACCATGTCTCTGTTCCACTTTCAGGACTCATCAACTCCTGCCCTAGGCTGGTCTACAACCACTGTCAAAAGATGCCGGCAGATCTGATCTCTAGCTTGCAGAATCCCACGAATCTCATGTCCATTGATGCAGATGCCTGGAAATTTGAATTGGAGTTTGGGCGAAGCCAGGGGATAGCAGAAACACACATTGGAGGTTGGTGCTTTGAAATGCTTTCTCGTGTTTTCAACCTAATCCCCAATGACGAATTTATTTGTCAGATGGGTTAAGGTTCCCACCAATCCAGTGAGGATAATCATGGGATGAAATTTCATGATCACTCTGAACAGAACAGGGGTGCAATATGGACTACAACTTGTGCCCAAGTACTCGCAAATACTGGCACTTTGATTTGCTAATTCTCTACATTTCCCCAGGGGGAATTGCCCGTGGGCATTTTATTGCAACAAGGGTGCAAGATGGCATTGTAAAGAATTAGCCTCCGAACTAGTTATGTTTTGTACATCGTGTCTTGCTGATTTTGGTAAACTTTATTTGCTGGAACAAATCACCCTTGTTGATCCAGTGTTTCATATTGCCATTCATTTTGATCGGGAATTTTTGAGGCTTGGATTATGGGATCAGGCATTGGATCTTTCGATGGCGACGCAGCACAGGAACGGCCACATCAGATGTTCGCCATTCTGATGCCGCACTCCTTCGTTTTAGCGCGGCGCCTGGCTTGGGTTCGTCCGAAATGTCGGAGGTGGAAGCAGGATGAGGTTTGGATGTTTTTGGAGGGTTCCAATAATTATCTCAAAATAGACGTCGTATAATATATTTAAATATTGGAAACTAATATATATATATATAATTATTTTATTATATATATATATTATATTATATATATATATTATATTATATATATATATATATTATATTATATATATCATATATATATTATATATATATGGATATGTATAATTCATATTTAAGTAAATATACATATGTGCGTACTATTCAAGTGAATATTCAAGACTGGAAGTAAGTTGTAATTAGCTACCAATATCTCCCCTTTGTTCAGACCAGGTCCGCCCTCCCAGAGCTCCACTGCTCATTTTGTCGTTCTCGTCGAGGTCATCGTTCTGCCCATTTTGCTGATCTCCATGCTCGGAGTGGTCACTCGGGGATGATTTTGGGCAAATTTTGGGTGCAGTTTTTGGTGTCTGAAACTTGCATTTTGTTAGGGAAACTGATGATTCCTGTAACCCGTGGGTTCTTAGATTAGCATATTTTGAGACAAACTCAAATGATGCTTGTAGGAGGCACGTTGCTAAATGCGGCGTTTTAGTACGTTTTCCAACATTTCTACTACGTTCGTGTTGTTTTGGGGGGTTGGACGGAGGTTGGGGGGTTGGGCGTGGGGGGTGGTTGCTTGGTGCTACGCTGTGAACTTGGCCTTGGAAGCTACACTCTCAACTCTCAACTTGTTCTTGGAACTTCTAACACACTCTTGATGCTACGCTCTGAACTTGTGCTTGGAACTTCTAACACTCTTGAAGCAGTTTGGGCAACCATGCCAACTTAACAAAATATTTTGGCAAAATCATGGACTTTAACTGCAACGGGCGAGCAGAAAAAAAACAACTACTTTGGGGCGACATAGAGGGTTAGCCACTCAAACTCATATAGAATATCAACAAATGCGCTGCAAATACCAATTAAAAACAAGCCTGTGTGTTCCAAAACCACACAGAAACACAGCTTTCATTTTGACAAAGAGCACAAAGTGACACAAGGGTTGCAACATTTGAAGATGGAGAAGCGCATGAATCAACAAATAGCCCAAGGTCAAATACCCGTGTGTGACCTTGTAGATATGCATCCCCAGATCACCCCGGGCTATTTGCTCAGGATTGCCTACATAGCACTGCAACACTTAAAATCCAAAACATTGCTGCAAATGGAAGGGAGAAAGTCACGCCTGGAAAAAAAGTGGAAGATTTGGTGTGGTTCCATTCGAGTCTCCATGTGGAAGGCAGCTCCCGCAAGGCAATAGAATTGCGATGCAAACAATATTTTTCGATGGTCCCTAGATATTCAAGTTGCCGCTAGCACAAGCAAACAGCCAACGATAGTGATCGTGTTGTCCCCTAATTGTAGATACCGGGTTGCTGGCTGCAGTTTCTATACAATATGAAATGGATCCCCAGACCTGTGGTATCGTCCCAAAGAAGTCGCGATTTCAACTTGTCATATCTTCCATCCCAGACCAAAATCTGAAGCTGAAAGCAAAATCCAGAATTGGATAGAATTGGCGTAAGGAACATCGAAACCGGAAACCCCTTTACTTGATGATCAAGACCGTGTTGTCCTGCACTTTGTCCCTCGCATTTCTTGGCCCAGTTGCCAGCGGCTGTTTGCCTCTTGAGCTGTTTGGGATGCTTGGCTGCAGACGGATGGCCCCCAGTTTACCCAACCTTTTTGAAGAATGTGCACAAAACCAATAGATGGGAAACCACCTGCAATCCAACATAGCAATGGGAAACCCTCAAAACATGTGCATTGAAATGGGACAATCATAAATGGTGTGATGTCCATTGCCATGTTTGACTACGAGAGGGTACACATTTGATTAAATTCGTGCATTTTGCATTTATTTATTCTTCCTCAGGCTATAGGACCTCTGACTAATAGTTCTTCTAGTTAGCTACCAGAAAGGTGTCATTAGCATAGGAAGTGCATCAATGGATGGGGTGAAAGTCCCATCTGACCTTTTGCTTGGAAGGGAAAGCTTGGAGAAACCCACTAAGAGGTCGGCCAAATGTGACTGGACCCAGTTCTTACGGGTTCAGTTGCTTATCAAACCCTTTTTCTTGGGGGGTGTGGTGGAATTCCTTTGCATCAAACTGTGTGTATTCTGGTCTGTGTCGCTGTCATTTCGAAAAGGAACATTGGAGCCGTATGTCCCAAACCATCATGTTCCACTTGTTTATCATCATTTGTATATTATTATATCGTTATCACGTTCCTGTTGCAGCATATTATCCTGATTTGTTGATCAATATCCGTATTAATCATGTATATGTATATACATATGTCGTATATATGCATATATAGACGTCCCCTGCAACGTGGTGCCTCAGTTCGTTGGCTAAGTTTATTGAAATAACTAGGTTAAGTATGGTCTATGGGTACTACAACTTTGTTGTTGGATTGGTAATAAACTTAATAAACCAACAAACATGGCGTTTGGTGGTACCACCTTGTCTAGTCAGATGTGTTCCCTGAGGTACCATGCCGTGCTCTATGCGCATTGGCCGACACGTTGTGCAGCTGAGACGTCAGGGGCACCAGAGGATTCGTGATGGTTTTGTAGTTGGATTACGAATGAATGATGCAAAATTGTCTGTCTATGTTATTCTATGTTCATATGAATATTATATATTATATATATTTATATATATATCATATATTTATATATATATATATTATATATATATAAATATATTATATATTTATATATATATGCATACGCGTGTGTGTGTGTGTGTGCCTGCAAGTATGTATGCAGATATTTATATAGTTATACATTGCATGATTCATTCATTCAATAATTTTGATTGCATGTGTACATGCGCGAGTACATGCATATACTTATATATATATATATAGATACACATGAAACACACACATCTATATATATATACAATACATGTGGAAATAGAGAGAGATGTGTGTGTATGTATATGGACATGGGTTGACAGAAAAAAAATGGAGAGGGGTTATATAATATGGTAGGTAATCAACTTCTAACTTCCTCTAACAACTATGGTTTCAACACCATGGTAGGTTTGGTTTCTTGAAATATACGGACACATGTAAAAAGAATTCATAAATAAATAAATAAATATTAATAAATTAAATAAATAAAAAAAAATAAATAAATATATCTATATATATGTATATATATTTATATATTTATGTATCCCCGATGGTATTTCCACTACAAAAAGGGAGAACACGTGTACGGTATAAAATGGTCTGGGGATAGGTTTTTGTAGCTGAAATTAGTCTTGGGCCCCCCTTTTTGTAGTAAAGTTACCCTAGGCATTTTGTAGGCCCCCTGTTTGGCAAATACAATAGGCTTTTTGTAGGCCTCCAAAACGTGGAATCGAAAATGGAAGATTATGTGATATTACATCAGCTTATAAATTGCTGACTGCATTTTGTAGTCTCTTTGTGGCTGAATCATGCAATGTACAACGCAGCCCAAGAGAATCAGGGAATGCATTTTGTAGCCTCAGTATCCCCGTTCGAATTTCCACTACAGAATGGGAGGCCTTGTGCCCCGTTTCAAGGCCTTGCCAGGCTTAAAATAAGATGAAAATAATGGGGTTGAAAATAAATACTATAGCCAGGACCATGACGAAACAGTAACTAGTCTGCCGAACAGGCAGTGTCCTGAACAGGGACGTTTTTTTTTTTAATAGGAAACATATGTAGTCCAGGACTTTGTCCTTGGAGTTATATATATATATATATTATATATGTATAGTCCAGGACTCTGTCCTTGGAGTTGTGTATATATATATATACACCGTGTCTTTGGAGTTATACAAATATGCGTAGCTTAGTTCCCTAAAATAACGCACCTACCCTAGTAAAAAAAACAAATTGCAGCTCTTGGCAACGTTTTGTGGGAACTCTTCATTTGTTGTTTTTTGGTTGCTTTTTGTTTATTATTACACACAATTAAATGATCCATAGTGATCCTAATTGACCCTAATGAACACTAAATAACATTCATTGACACTAATTGGACACTAAATGTCACTAATTGACACTCAATTGCACTACTTGCCACTAAAGAAAGCTAATCGATACGAATTGACACCACTAATTGACTCTAGATGACACGATGTCACACTAATTGACACGCATATTAGATACCATGCTTACATGAGGGTCGTTGGAACTTCATGCAATAGTTGATCACAGCATGCATTTTGTAGTGAAGTGAGGCGGCCTCATCATTTTGTAGCGCGCAGTAATTGGATGGGCAGACTTTGGTACTTTAGGTGCTCGACACGAAATAAAACCCAGATATATAAGTAGTTAATACTACAGATATATATAAATATATATAAGTATTAAAAAACATATATATATATGTAAATTGCTACAGATGTATACTAGGATGTGGTCCTTGAAAATAAATACTATAGCCAGGACCATGACGAAACAGTAACTAGTCTGCCGAACAGGCAGTGTCCTGAACAGGGACGTTTTTTTTTTTAAATAGGAAACATATGTAGTCCAGGACTTTGTCCTTGGAGTTATATATATATATATAGTCCAGGACTCTGTCCTTGGAGTTGTGTATATATATATATACACCGTGTCTTTGGAGTTATACAAATATGCGCAGCTTAGTTCCCTAAAATAACGCACCTACCCTAGTAAAAAAAACAAATTGCAGCTCTTGGCAACGTTTTGTGGGAACTCTTCATTTGTTGTTTTTTGGTTGCTTTTTGTTTATTATTACACACAATTAAATGATCCATAGTGATCCTAATTGACCCTAATGAACACTAAATAACATTCATTGACACTAATTGGACACTAAATGTCACTAATTGACACTCAATTGCACTACTTGCCGCTAAAGAAAGCTAATCGATACGAATTGACACCACTAATTGACTCTAGATGACACGATGTCACACTAATTGACACGCATATTAGATACCATGCTTACGTGAGGGTCGTTGGAACTTCATGCAATAGTTGATCACAGCATGCATTTTGTAGTGAAGTGAGGCGGCCTCATCATTTTGTAGCGCGCAGTAATTGGATGGGCAGACTTTGGTACTTTAGGTGCTCGACACGAAATAAAACCCAGATATATAAGTAGTTAATACTACAGATATATATAAATATATATAAGTATTAAAAAACACATATATATATATGTAAATTGCTACAGATGTATACTAGGATGTGGTCCTTGAAAATAAATACTATAGCCAGGACCATGACGAAACAGTAACTAGTCTGCCGAACAGGCAGTGTCCTGAACAGGGACGTTTTTTTTTTTAAATAGGAAACATATGTAGTCCAGGACTTTGTCCTTGGAGTTATATATATATATATATACCAGGACTTTGTCCTTGGAGGTACATATGTATATATATATATATAGTCCAGGACTTTGTCCTTGGAGTTATGTATGTATGTATATATATATATAGACCAGGACCTTGTCCTTGGAGTTACTTATGCGTATATAGTCCAGGACTTTGTCCTTGGAGTTATGTATATTCATATAGAATCATATATATATATATAGACCAGGACTTTGTCCTTGGAGTTACATATGTATGTATATATATATATAGTCCAGGACTCTGTCCTTGGAGTTGTGTATATATATATACACCGTGTCTTTGGAGTTATACAAATATGCGTAGCTTAGTTCCCTAAAATAACGCACCTACCCTAGTAAAAAACACAAATTGCAGCTCTTGGCAACGTTTTGTGGGAACTCTTCATTTGTTGTTTTTTGGTTGCTTTTTGTTTTTTATTACACACAATTAAATGATCCATAGTGATCCTAATTGACCCTAATGAACACTAAATAACATTCATTGACACTAATTGGACACTAAATGTCACTAATTGACACTCAATTGCACTACTTGCCACTAAATAAAGCTAATCGATACGAATTGACACCACTAATTGACTCTAGATGACACGATGTCACACTAATTGACACGCATATTAGATACCATACTGGGCTTTGAGCAAAGATGATTCGAAAACAAACTGGGTGAGACTACAAAAAGACTTGGGCTTATCTTAGTCGCTTTTGCATCCGTTTTCAACATCCATAACAAAAATGCGAGTGGCTTTTTGTAGGCTCCACCTGGGTATGTGTGGGGTACCTGCAGCATCATTTTGTAGAGCTGCTTTTTGGGTTGGGCATACCTTTTTGTAGCTAGGGGACCCGTGACCCCATATTTCATACCTACAAAACTGGTACACAGCTGCTCACCCTATATTCCATCGAGGATATTTATGTATGTATATTTATATGCATATATATATATATGTATATATATATATATAATGTATGTATATATATATATATATATGTATGTATGTATATATTGGGCTATTGTTGGCGAAACTCTAGTCTCAAACTGATAATATAAGTTTGAAACACACGCGCACACAACTTCTATTGAAATCGTTCATTTCCAACTCTTGTCTATACTGCATACATATATTATATATATACATAATATGGCATCAAACCAATTCTAGGCTATTGCCACGGAAGACTACGACTGCTCATTCAAAATGGCCGCAGCTGATTAATTTTGAAAAATGAAGATGCCGATAGCTTTAAGAAAAATCATCTCTGGGAGATTTCTGCTCAGACGGCGGGGGTCCGGCGCCATGGCGTGGGAGGGCGCACCCGGCCCGGGCCCAGGGGGCATGGGTGGTGGCATGGGTGGCGGAATGGGCGGCGGAATGGGCGGTGGAATGGGTGGCAACGTCAGTGGTAGCATGGCTGGTGGCATGGCTGGTGGCATGGGTGGCGGCAGCATGGGTGCTAGCATGGGTGCTGGCATGGGTGGCGCTGGCATGGGTGGCACTGGCATGGGTGGCACTGGCATGGGTGGTGCTGGCATGGGTGGCGCTGGCATGGGTGGCGCTGGCATGGGTGGCGCTGGCATGGGTGGCGCTGGCATGGGTGGTGCTGGCATGGGTGGTGCTGGCATGGGTGGCCCTGGCGTGGGTGGTGGCATGGGCGGCTGCGGCATGGGTGGAGGTAGCATGGGCGGCGGTGGCATGGGCGGCTGTGGTATGGGCGGGTGCGGCATGGGTGGCGGCAGTATGGGCGGTGGGTATGGTGGGTGGGAAGGACAGCCGCAACAGGGGCCCCCAGGTGGTGGGAAGGGATGTGGTGGAGGCAAAGGTTGGGGCGGTCAAGGCTGGGGAGCTGGCTATGGCATGTTCGGTGGTTACAGCAATGCGACCTGGCTGAGAATGCTTAAGGGGATCCTTGCTTTCAAGTCGACTCAATGACTCAATGCTGTAGTGACTACGTTGTGTGGGGTTTCCTGCCTGTTTCACCAATGCACAGCTGGCTAGCTTGCTGTTTGTAAATTCATTATTTGGATGTGCAAAAAAAATCGCAACTGGAATACCAATGAATATCTCATAAATACCTTGATCAAATCCCATTTCGTTTGTTCTCCTTTATCCACTTACACTGCCTGGGTCCCGCGCCCAAATCTGTTTGTATTCTCGTAGGTCTATGTCGCTGGCATCCCCGAAGCTTGCACTGAACAAGAGTTCCGAGACTTCTTCGCCCAGTATGGCAATGTGACATCCACGAAGCTGTCTGATCAGAGCAAGAACGGCACCAGTGACTTGTCGCTGCACGGCGCTGTCGGCGAACTTATCAGCGGCACCCTAGCAATACCCTTTGATATCCCTTTGATATTTGACATAGCCAATTTTGGAAAATGGATGAGCATGTCCCATTTATAGAGATTTATTTGCCTATTTGCCTACTGTACCTATTTGAGATCATGATTTCCCGTACCATTTTGTTATATAAATTACCACCATGGTTTTGGCATTTTTCCATGTTCCTCATTTCCTCCCCCAGATGGCCCATCTTCAAGAGAAGAAGAAAAATAAGAAGAAGAACAACAACAAAAATAATAAGCAAAACAAAAAAGAATAAACAAAAGGAAACAAAAAGAAAAACATAGCCTGGTTTGGTAGGTGAATAAAATCTGATAGACACACACACACTATATTTTTTTTTGGTAGTGCGTACTTTTTACACCTGATTTAAATATCTCATGCACACAACTTGGGACTGGGATAAAACTGTTCTCATCGCTGTGTTGAGATCCTCCAGCCGGCCAGTTTATGATCTCAGTTTTTGTAAAATTAGGGTGTGACCCCTGACCCTAAAAAGAACATTTGCATGATTCTGCATGTCCCAAGACTCCAAAAGATCTCGGGACCCAGGATACGGCTTCGTGAATTTCACCACCCCAGAAGAAGCCTACCAGGCAATTCAAGCAACGAACAACATGCAGTTCGGTCCCTGTGTATTGACCGTGCGTCTGGCCAACAGCAGCAAGGGCTCGGGGAAGGGACTTCCTCCCGGTGGAAGCATGGGCATGTCCCTGGGGGGCTTTGATGGATGTCCGCCCTCGGCGTCTTGACGATGCTGTCAGCTGTTGGCACCACTGGAATAGCTGAGTGATCACATCCCTCTTGGTCCTATCCCCTAAATCGCGATTTCTGGGGGGTGTTTAACATTAGAGGGAGGATTAATGGGAACATATGGGAAATATTGGAGGTATGTTGATGTTTGTTGCATGATTCAACAATTGGGGCAATGTTCCCCGCTACTAGCTTGATTGCTGTCACCAGCTACCATCCAGAGGTCCAGCCAAGCCTTTGGCTAGGCTAGACTCCTGGAGATGGCGATGGAGAGAGTAGCAACACCCAAAAAACCTACAAAAATAAAATCCTACTAATTTTAAATAGCAGTATTGTTGATATTGTTGTAAATTTCCTTTTTCTATCCGTCATTTCGTTGGTGCAAGGGAAAAGCTACAGGAAACACTTCGAATTTGGTGTAAACACCCATGGTTTCCTGTAGATGTTTACTTGAACCAATCCATTGAATTTGGCTGGTTCCTACAAAGGCATCAACATCCAGCTTCGATCCGTAAGCTTCGTGAGGAAACGCTCATCGTCAAAGGATTGTCCTCCAAGTTGACCGATGAAGCCATCAAAACGGCTTTCTCTGCATATGGACAGGTGAACAATGTGAAGATCATGGATCAGTATGTTGCTGGGCCAAGCTGGTCGGTTTTGTTTTTTTTCGGTTTCCTCCAAGCTTGGTGACTGAAAATATGGGGATACGTTAAAACATGTTAAAACTATTTAAAACATTTAAAAACTATGATTTTCATTGATTTTCCATATTTGGTACATGGATTGTAAATGGGATGAATAAATCCAAGCTATCGTTTTCTGTGAACAGAAGGACTACAGAATTGCTTGGCATGTTTTCACCCATAGGCCTCCAAAGGCGGTGAGGCATGAACAACATACTCCAAGTGCATCATTTGTATTTATAAATAGCAGAAAGATATACAGTTACAGTTACATATATATATATATATACAATGTATCTAATGTAATAAGGTGTATATATATGTAATATAGGGATAATATATATATATATACACATATATAGGTGTGTGTTGTGTTGATATAGGCACATACACACGTTTATACCTCTGCATATAATTTAGAGATATTCTTGCTGGTAGGTAGATTTTTTCCTGTTGCTCTTCACTTTGGACGTATCACCTGGCACCCAAGGAAGGCTTTGCGCTGGTGCTCCACTTGATTTCAGCACAACGTTTGGCCCCGAAGTTGGCTTTGAACATGCTGATATGGCCCTGAAAATGGCGTTTGCTCGTCAACCAGTTTCAATAGACACAGATGATGAATAGCCAGCAGACTTAGCGGATCTTAGGGGCATATACTCCATTTTTCAGACCAACACATATGTCCGGGCAAGTTCAAGTGATTCGGAGCGTAGACACCCGGTGCCTGTTCCCTGAAAGTAAATGACCGTGATGTCTCACCTGTGAACACAAACAAACACCTGAATCATTCATGAAAACCACGGAACATGGTTCGTTGATACAATTATACATATCTTTTTGGAAGGACATCATTGCATCTCTAAGGTAAACATCATTGCATCTCTAAGGTATGTTACTTTTCTGAAAGGTAACTTAATTTGCGGGAAAAAAGCATCATCACATAGGGACCCACCTTCACCTCTAGGTGCTGGTGAAAATGGCCACAGTGGAGCAAGCCGAGTGGGTCGTGGACAAGGTGGATGGCAACATCCCGCATACCTTAGACGCGCCCGTAGATGTGTCCTTCATGCCCACTGGAGGCCTGGGATGTTGGGATTTATGGGGCCTGGGTGTGGCTTCAACCTGAGTGATCCAGTTCCCTGCAGCTCCAAAGAGCGAAACACTCTTTGCTTGGCAGTTTCCAAGTCTCAACAGCTCCTGGAGGTTTTTGGAGAGCATCTGAAGATCTTTTACCAAGGACCTTTTAAAGTCCTAGTCGGGGCCACATATCCTTCATCCACCGGGATTCTGTTGTTGGCTGCCTCCCAGGCGCACGGCTTCAGCATTTGCTGTCGAATCCCAACGCCCCCTTCGGTGATAAGGAGTCCACCAGCCCTGCGACGCGTGAATTCCAGTGCCTTGGAGAATAGGGCTTCGGAGGGCAGCAAACCACCCAGGAATTGTGGGATGATGATGGATAATGATAATTTAATACTTGATATACATTTGATATACAAACGATCAAATGGAAGTATGTGTATATATATATATAGTTATGTATACATATATTTATATACATTATTTATATGTATACGCATATAATCTCATATAATATACATACACACATATATATATATACATATACATACATATATATATATATATATACATATACATACATATATATATATATATATACATATTTTTATACATATATATATATATACATATATATATATTTATACATATGTATATATATATATGTATATATGTATTTTTATGCGCATCAATGCATGATGTTTGCATGTCAACGTCCTGCAGCGTAATTCCTCCGTATGTCACTCTGCTACTGTGGGGATGAATGGCAACTGCAAAAATCTGTGGATCCTCCTGAGAAGCTTATGCTGGATTACGGCAACCCAGGTCAACCCAATATTGATGTATAATAGATTATCATGGACATATATAAATATATATACACATACATATATATATATATATAATGTTGACCTACGATTTGTAAACTACCCCTGAATAAAGCTAATTTTTTCCCAAAATAAATAAAAAATGCCCCCTAAATAAAGCTAATTTTTTTTGGCCCTAAACCCAGATTTGCCCAGATGGGGCTGAAAAAAATTGTCCATGCTTGATTTGAAGTGGCTTTCATGTACTAATCATATTGCCGGCTCATTAGATCTTACCTTGATAACTTCAACTTTTCAAAAATAATGGTTGTTCTTTTCTATTCAAAACCTTTATTCAAAATTATCCAAAATCAATCCCAAATCAACTCGTCAAGGGTACCCCCCCATGAGGTGCCTTGGCACTAATTAGAGTTTGACCCTGAATAAAGCTAAATGTTTTTGGCCCTAAACCCAGATTTGTCCAGATGGGGCTGAAACAAATTGTCCATGCTTTATTTGAGGTGGCTTTCATGTACTAATTCATATTGCCAGCTCATTAGATCTTACCTTGATAACTTCAAATTTTCAAAAACAATGGTTGTTCTTTTCTATTCAAAACCTTTATTCAAAATTGTCCAAAATCAATCCCAAATCAACTCGTCAAGGGTACCCCCCATGAGGTGCCTTGGCACTAATTAGAGTTTGACCCTGAATAAAGCTAAATGTTTTTGGCCCGAAACCCAGATACGAAATCAATAGTAAATCCATGAAATGAATACTAAATCAATACTAAATCCATGAAATGAATACTAAACCAACACTAAATCAATACTAAATCAATACTAAATCCATGAAATGAATACTAAATCAATACTAAATCCATGACATGAATACTAAATCAATACTAAATCCATGACATGAATACTAAATCAATACTAAATCCATGGCATGAATACTAAATCAATACTAAATCCATGAGATGAATACTAAACCAATACTAAAACAATTGTTGGATTCCTGTTTTTTTTGGAAATTGCATTTTATGTATTCGTTTTAAATTGTGGTAATTGAAAACCAATACATACAAACAAGTTTTTAACTTTATTTGAGGTAATCAAGGGGGGGGGGGCCCCAGGTTTATAAATCAGAGGCAGACATTACACATTTATTTTTATATGTGTTTACCCTTGGGGCATAAACAGAAAATGCACCGAAACGCATGTCCAGGAAAGCGGTGAGCGACACCATTGCTGGAGTCAAGGGCTTTAAAGCACCACCTTCCGGCGAAGACGAAGCAGATCCGAGCCATTTATTGATCAAAGGACTTGCACCGGAGATCGATCCTTGTCAGCACCTGGTGGAGCCACATGTTGCTTTGGCTTACAACGGCCTCAGCTATATGGGCAAGTATGTACTGAGATGGGTAAAAGGGCATCACCTTGTAGATTCCAGAAATAAGGGATGATGGTGCTATGACCAAATGAATTTCTGAACTTCGTTGATTTTGTTGGCTGCCAGGACAGTATGTGCCACGAGTTTTTGGGAGAAGACATGCAAATTGTCGGGTATTGCAAGGTAGTGGCTTTCTTTTGATGTTGAAATAAGTATTTCATTGACTGCAATGAAAATAAACATCCCTGCAATTGGCTTTCCACGAGTATTAAGTGCAAGAAGCTTCACGGCGGTACAGCGGTCGGGATGTCGCGTGACGTCACCGTCGAAAAACCATGTCGTTTATATAATGATGATATGTAGAAACACATTTCATGACGTGTCAACCATCAGGATATAGGGATGCATGATGTATGTGTATATAGATATTGCAGAGATATATTCGTGGATATATAATAACTGCTACAGGATGGTTGGTTGATGATGATATTTTAGAATTATAGGGATTATACTGCACTTGATGATCATATTAGATAGCAGTTGGGGAATCTCACAGCCATTAGTTGGGAAATATCACAATCTGTTCTCAACCAACCAGCATCAACATGGGACGGCGCTTGAGGGTTTTGAACACTGCTCATTTACCCTCTGGTAATTTAACGTAGCTATGGAAAATCACCATTTTTTAATGGGAAAATCCACTATAAATCACCATTTTCAGTAGCTATGTTAAATTACCAGAGGGTATACTGCATTTGATGATCATATTAGACAGCAGTTGGGGAATCTCACAGCCATTAGTTGGGAAATATCACAATCTGTTCTCAACCAGCCAGCATCAACATGGGACGACGCTTGAGGGTTTTGAACACTGCTCATTTACCCTCTGGTAATTTAACGTAGCTATGGAAAATCACCATTTTTTAATGGGAAAATCCACTATAAATCACCATTTTCAATAGCTATGTTAAATTACCAGAGGGTATACTGCATTTGATGATCATATTAGATAGCAGTTGGGGAATCTCACAGCCATTAGTTGGGAAATATCACAATCTGTTCTCAACCAGCCAGCATCAACATGGGACGACGCTTGAGGGTTTTGAACACTGCTCATTTACCCTCTGGTAATTTAACGTAGCTATGGAAAATCACCATTTTTAATGGGAAAATCCACTATAAATCACCATTTTCAATAGCTATGTTAAATTACCAGAGGGTATACTGCATTTGATGATCATATTAGATAGCAGTTGGGGAATCTCACAGCCATTAGTTGGGAAATATCACAATCTGTTCTCAACCAGCCAGCATCAACATGGGACGACGCTTGAGGGTTTTGAACACTGCTCATTTACCCTCTGGTAATTTAACGTAGCTATGGAAAATCACCATTTTTTAATGGGAAAATCCACTATAAATCACCATTTCAATAGCTATGTTAAATTACCAGAGGGTATACTGCATTTGATGATCATATTAGATAGCAGTTGGGGAATCTCACAGCCATTAGTTGGGAAATATCACAATCTGTTCTCAACCAGCCAGCATCAACATGGGACGACGCTTGAGGGTTTTGAACACTGCTCATTTACCCTCTGGTAATTTAACGTAGCTATGGAAAATCACCATTTTTTAATGGGAAAATCCACTATAAATCTCCATTTTCAGTAGCTATGTTAAATTACCAGAGGGTATACTGCATTTGATGATCATATTAGATAGCAGTTGGGGAATCTCACAGCCATTAGTTGGGAAATATCACAATCTGTTCTCAACCAGCCAGCATCAACATGGGACGACGCTTGAGGGTTTTGAACACTGCTCATTTACCCTCTGGTAATTTAACGTAGCTATGGAAAATCACCATTTTTTAATGGGAAAATCCACTATAAATCACCATTTTCAATAGCTATGTTAAATTACCAGAGGGTATACTGCATTTGATGATCATATTAGATAGCAGTTGGGGAATCTCACAGCCATTAGTTGGGAAATATCACAATCTGTTCTCAACCAGCCAGCATCAACATGGGACGACGCTTGAGGGTTTTGAACACTGCTCATTTACCCTCTGGTAATTTAACGTAGCTATGGAAAATCACCATTTTTTAATGGGAAAATCCACTATAAATCACCATTTTCAATAGCTATGTTAAATTACCAGAGGGTATACTGCATTTGATGATCATATTAGATAGCAGTTGGGGAATCTCACAGCCATTAGTTGGGAAATATCACAATCTGTTCTCAACCAGCCAGCATCAACATGGGACGACGCTTGAGGGTTTTGAACACTGCTCATTTACCCTCTGGTAATTTAACGTAGCTATGGAAAATCACCATTTTTTAATGGGAAAATCTACTATAAATCACCATTTTCAATAGCTATGTTAGTCATAACCAGAGGGTAATTTGAGTTCGATACTGAAATCCAAGCTGATTTGAGGATGAGCTCTACTTGTACTATGTCTCTCGGATCAGATGGATTGCTGAAAGTCCAATGGGCCATATTGGACGATGCTAAAAATTGAGGTTCTGTGCCATGCAAGGCCGCACTTCTGGTATATCCTTTCAGCTTAGACTCGACTCGACCTACTGTTAGGCCTTTAGGTACCTCAAATCTGGGTGAAACGTCCTTTCATTCATGATATTTTTATGATCGCCAATTATATTTTTTCCCGCAAATCAGTTGTGCGGTGTCATGCCCTTGGTGGTAGGTTTTGTCGCACCGCAGAGTCCAACGACTACCGAAATTCAGTGGCCATGGCCACATGTGTGCTGGATAATCTGGATCTGTGATATCTCTACTATTTGTACCATGTGTGCTGCCAGCATAAAACATTGGATTCTTCCCCACCTATGTCCATGCAAGTACTGCGTACATGCACCGTTACATGCCGTCCTCGGGTGTCTACCTCCATACATGGATCTACACATATAGTGCACACCATGCATTCGTGTGTGTGTGTGTGTGTCGCTACATCAAGGCTTCTGAAGTGCAGTAGGATCATGCCGACATGGGCCAGCCAGGTGGCAGGACACTCATCAACATCAAATTCATGCTCTTGTTCCCATTATTTGATGGATGTGTCTCAACCCCAAAACCGGCTCAGACAAACCATGCGCTCCATGTATGGACTACTTACCAATCAGTTACCCCCCCCATTTTTCAAACGTAGATTTTCTATAGACAAGTTGAGTCCATGGTTTTCAAGCAACATGGGGCTCCCTAACCACTTTGGTTCACAAGTTGATTGGCAACCAGCTTTAGTTGCAGCTCCTGGCCTTTTTTTTTTCACCCTGCTTATGTTTATTTTACCGCATAAAACCATCTCCCATTCGTGCTAACTATTCCAGCCCCATAGAAGGTGTGGCATATGAAATCCCAGTCGTGCAGCATGCATGAAAGTGACAATATATCTCATATATAGGTATTTATAGATATGTCCGCATGTATTATATATACATTATGTATATATTATATATATATGTATATTTAAGTATATATATATATATATACGAGACAGACAGAGAGAGAGAGAGAGAGAAAAAATATATATTGGCATATTGGCATATATTTAAATATCTTATGCACACTGTACATACATACTTATATATTATATATATATATACATAAGTGTGTGGGTAATTAAACTATATCCACTCGCCGGATGAAATACGCGGCAGCGGCCAGGTCTTCGCTCCATTCGGTGCGGTCCAAAACATCACGGTCTCGAAGGATGAGCATCTGGGCGGTGAAAAACAACGGGGAATGGCCCGGGGAAAAGGTACATTTAAAGATAGCAAAAAAGGAAGGAAAATAAACTAAGAGAGCTCACAGATTTTTTTTGTTGCCCAAATTAGGTTAGATGTGTGTTGTTCGGTGGTGTTTAGCCAACTGAGATCTTTGGAGTTCTGTTCTGGCTTCAGCGTTTCTACCAAAGTTTACCGCTTACAATATCTTACGACGGGCCCTAAGAGGATTTGAAAAACAACGATGGCAGCTACAACGACAACGACAAGAAGAAGAAGAAGATGAAGAAGAAAAAATATTAGAAGAAGAACAACAACAACAACAACAACAACAATTATTTCCATTTTGGGGGTCTTCAAATTCCACTACACGTTGAACTTCAACAACGCTTTACGAAATCGCACAACAGAGGTATGGCGGTTGCACGGGCACCGCCTACGTGAAGTTCGGTGTGCCGGAGGATGCTCTGCTGGCGGTCCAGACGCTCTGTGGAAATCCACTGCCGGATGGCAGTATCATGGGCGTTTACGTCAGGCAGAGTCGGTGCTGAACATTGCTCAACAACCGGACACAAAACGAGCGGAAAAAAAAACACTGTGGATGGTTGCGGAATCCTGAAAACCAGCTGATGGTCTGAACATGTCTGAACCATTATAGGGTTTCAACTATCCAAGGTGCAGGATTTCTTCCACAGCATGTCCCATTTTTACTAATTTAAATAACTGTAGTCTAATCTCATGTTGTGCCATTTTGAGTTTGATACAGACACAAGGTGGTTAAAGGTGGTCTACTGTACCCTTGCTTGTTTTGGCGCAATGGGATTTCAGCATCACCAAAGGTAGGTGACCAGCCCTGTGAGGAGAAGTAGCGGGACCAGCAACTTGAAAGGTGGCTGAGGCAGGCCGCTGTGCCGATGTTTCACCGCCGAACGGCAGCGTTATGCCTCGAAAGCGAAGAAAACGAAGCGAGACGGGACTCTTTTTTTTGGGCAACTGCTCAGCTCCAGTTCTAACTCCTGTGGCATTTTTGTTGTGATGGGTTTGACCAGAAACAGTACTGAGTTTGGTTCTAAGCTGTTCATAGCCACTTATTCAATTGCCATGAAAGGATCAATCAATGGTTGCAGTTGCTCTACTACAGATGCGCACCCGGATAGTCATAGGTTAAACAGGGAGAGCATACATTTCTGAGGAGGATGAGATCCCTCCATTGAGTTTGTATGTACGTGTAGCCATCCTGGAGTAGATAGAATGTGGGAAAAATGATTGAACATTCTATGTTCGATTGTATCTACTTCACGATGATTACACACATGTAATATACCCAGATGAACAAACGCGCACACACACACAAAGGTAAACAGTTGTGATACATATCATATGCCAATATAGTTCAATAAAAATCGTAAACTATATCATATATTATCATATTATATATATAATATATATCAGTTTAAACATTTATAATTATATCTTTAGATGTAGGTAGGGTGCCCATCCCCTCCTCACCACCACCAGCTCCAGCTCCGCTGTTCGAGGTTGGGCGCTCAGCGAGACGGATCGGCGTTTGACGCTGCTGGAGCAGTACTTGGATGGCATCCGTGTGCTGCAGCTCGGCCACCCCGCAGGGCAGATGGCTACAGGATGCTACAGGTGGCATTCGGGGTCAAAATTGAAGGTCTATGGGACCACAGATGTTGCAAGAATACAATGTGGGTAAAAGAAGTTCAAAAATCATCCCCCAAATTTCACCATTAATATATTATAGGTTGGTTGTATGTTTACCATTCACAAATGGGTGGGTTATGGCATTGTTTTACCAGCATTATGTTTAACAATTAACCATATAGTTATTGGGGTACCTAATTTTGACCCATACCAAGGTGCACCTGCAATCAGCTGGGCCCCATGAAAGAATCGTCAGGAATATGGGAGAATTTGCATGGAATTGTCCAAGGTACATGGGGAATGAACCAATGAACCAACCAAAATCAACGAACCTAAATTAGGTGGATGTTAACATCAATAGTGGATTTGAACATCAAACATTTTAGATCTTACCATATAGGGAAGCCAACCTTTTTTCGGGGACGTGACGGGATTTAATTGGATAATATTGGATACATAACCATGATGCTTGGGGTTGTCCAAAAAATTGGGCCGCACTCCAATTCCAAGTGGACTTTTGGAGTACTCTGAATTTCGGATTGATAGAAAGCAAGATGGTATAGGTCGGCAAACTCATTGATGAACGGAGATGAAACCAACAAAAACTCGGCAATTTGGAGACATTGCCTGCATTCCTTTCCTGCACTGAGAACTTGTTTGATTTGGGGTTTCATCGCACTAAACCCAATAAACATCACTAAAATATGTACTATACTGACTTTGACCTGTGGAACGGAGATTTGGATAAGATCAACAGGGTAGACACCTAAAAGTGAAATTACCATTGGATCTGTTTTTCGGCCTGGAAGACGGACATGTTTACCCCACTTCTGGCTGTTCCATATTCTTGCCATGTATCCACACTTGTTGCTATATGGAACCCATGCAACATGTGTACCCGTCAAACATGTCTTTATCTTCCACAATGATGTGGATTTGTCACTACACTGACATCACCAGCAACATCCAACAAGGGTTTGGCAGTGCTACGGAGCCTCGTTGTCCCCACGTATGTATTGGCACATGCTATAGTTCCAGTTTCCCCCCGAGAAACTCAGGAAAATGCCGCTTAGCGGCATTGAATTTCTGGGTGCTGGGATACTGCGAATCACTTGTGATTCTGGCAAATGCAACACTTGAGGAGACATTCCCTGGAGGAGTGTACCTCCCAATGTTTTGGAAACGTTTTGTCACTGCAACGACTGGATGTGTGATGAGATTCATATTGAGGGATATTGAAGGATATTGAGGGTGACTTTTAAAGGAGCTGCTGTTAGTCTTCCCACACCTTTCTGTTGGCGAATCAGCGGCTGCATTGCATCAGTTAAATGAGTTTTTTTTAGCTATTATTTACTTGGTTGAAACATGTGCAGACTCTTCATGTCGCGAGATAGTGCGGGAACAAGCAGCCGAACCTGGCAAATCGGAAGGTAGAAAAGGAAGGAAACTTCCCTGGCTGGTGGTTTTCCGATGTCTAAGCCTATTGCTTTTAGATTGACGTCCTGAAAATGGTATGATAATTCCTTGCTTGACATTCATACAGGGTGGTGCCCCAGCTTGTTAGCAAAGCTAAGTTGGTTGATTCTAGCTTCACTATGGTTTATGGGCATATATTATCATATATGTAAGTACAATATATATATATATGATACAATTATACAAGATTTAGATGGGCAATAAACCAACTCAAACCTTTTTGGGTCCCAAACAAGTCGCAGGTGGCACAACCCCAACCCAGATGTCACCGTCCAACCGTACCACCAGGAACGGTTGGACGGATGCGGCAGATTTGCGCCTGGCGGCGGTGCGGAAGGAAGAGTTGAGGTGGCACAAGAGCGTGCTGATGCTCGGGCTTTGGATATCTTTGGATCGGGCTGAACGGACCGACTCAGTCATCCTGGAGTTAGAATATGGATATGTCAAAAATCGTCAAAACATGTGCATTAAATTGCAAAATATGGGAATATTTGTTCCTGGATGGGTGTGGCCATGGATATGATGGATTGGACCATGGATTGGGCCATACAGATCTTGAATTTGAAGCATGGAATGGGAATGAGCCTTTTTGGTAGATGGATAAACCTCATTTATCAGAGCAGACTGTGATGCGAGAACCGCCAATGAGGTGGTTGTCATTGTGTTTTGACATAGTTTGAGGACAACCAACAGGACATGTTCAAAGCTATGAATTTGACGTGTCAAATCCAAGGATGTGGAAGGGCGTTGGGGGAGCCCAGTGTGAAAAATGCTGAAGTTATGAATGGGCTATGGAAAATTATGTCCCTCTTCGTTCATTGTCATTTTCAGGGGCATTGGAAATGGTGCTTGTTTTTTTCCGTGTGTTGGATTGCCATGGAAGTTTGGGAGATGTGGATGTTGGAGACCCGCATTGGCCAACGGAAGCTTTCATGACTATTTTCGTGTTTTCCATGGGAATTCCGGGTTGTTTCCTCAACAACTGCAGTCACCTGTTGGAGTCTGAACCATTCTCAACAAATCGCATGGTACCCACAGGTATCCACACTGATCATGAGGAGCAAATCAGCAAATCAGCAGCACCAAAAAGCGTGTAGCACTTGTTTCCAAAATAGCTGGCAAATAGTTGGTACTGGAATTGGATGTCCATACCTCCAAAATCCTCCAAATATCCTAGCTTTTGACTTGTCTCTGAGATTGTATCCATATGTTTTTGCTAAACTCTTCCCATCTATTCCCTATAGCTGGTTCCATATACTACCATATACTACCCTTAGTCCATGAGGGCAGCGATTCGCATGTTTTTGCATCAGCACCCAATGTTTGCTGCGATTGTTATCGGTTGGCAGTCATTGGTTCAAATGGCCAACATGTTCCAAGCAAGGACTTATCATCAACGTTGGTTAACATTATTCATCATGATTCATCAACTCAGTAATTACATAGAGGCGTTACACCCACAAGTTTCCATGGTCGCAGCTTGAAACTCAGCTCCAGGCGGTTGGATGGTTGGAGCTGTCCATATCCGTCATTTCGATACCATAAGTGTTCCAGAGTTTTATTGACTGTGCCACACCCCCAAAACAAAAAGTGCTTGCTTCAACCACTTCACAATCCAAAAAGAAGACAGATCCAAAGTAAGATCTGTGCAATGAGTGTAGCTGCGGCGTTGCTTGCCGTGGTCCGCCTCAATGTTTTGGTTGCTGCCCTCACCTCTGCCTACAACATTCGGCTCTTTGCCGTGAAGAACTTCGGTCGACCCTGGGCATCATGATTCACCATGATGGCGTCAATGGTGTCTTACTGGTTGCTTGATGACTGGCTTAGACTTTGAGCAGCATGTTTGGCTGGAAAGAACCAGAGTAAGGCCGGTAAGAGTGTCTCTGAACATGCAGAATGAAAATTGGAAAAAGTATCCAAATCCATCCAAATCCATTCCCATGTTTGGTTACCAGACCATCATTTTTCGACACATTGATGGTGACCGTGATTGAAGATTTTTAAGGACCGATGCCGGGAAGCCCCTGCTTCGAAAAAAATCCAAAATGATAAGAGGCAAGGGATAGCTGCATGATGAGGCGAACTAAAACCTGTTTGGAACCTCGGAAGGTTGGAAGATGTTGGAAGTTTATTACTGGCCGTGATCCCTTGCCTCTTCTAGGGCTTTCGTCGGATGTTGTGTTTACATGGTTTGAAGCTTGTTTAACTGCTTTACGCACAGGAACATAGTCAAATCCGAAGGTGAACGAGACCTTTTTTTTTTTTGATTCGGCCCTTGAAAAAGATTGTAATTGCGTCATATCGTGCGGTATTTTTCTGATGCAGGACAGTGCGCGGGTTGAGGTTGAGTAATTATTCACCGTTTCCCATTGTAGTTTGATGTATTTTGATGTGCGCAAAGGCCAAGATACACGAACCAACAACCAGCAGATGAGCCTAGGCAAATGCGGCAAATCAAATAAACAGCACTACAAACATTGTACTAGAAACCATAAACTAGATCCCAAATTTGCCAAAGTAAGCAACTACGAAAAACAACCACAGTCAATAGTCATCACACCCAGCATGGCATTCTGAATCTAGACACACGTGTTGCGCCCAGGAGTCATTCACGAGTTCGATCCCTGGTTCAACTACCGCGCTGCCGAATATTTAGCGGAACATGGAGCTGAGCGTTTCTTCAAGTGGTTTGATCACAGCGCGGCTCGGTGACCGAGTTGGATTTGGATGTACAAAAGAAACACTATCATCAAAAATGCTTGGGATATCCAGCTAAATGGACGTCTTATAATGGGAAAACCAATGTTTGTTTACCTGAGTGTATTTGGCTGTAAACTAATTAGTTGGGATGTTTCTTAGTGATGTTTGATGACTTTTTGTTGGGGGCTGGCTGCTGTTGGTTATAGTTACTATGTTCCATTATTGCCCACCCAGAACAAATGACCTGGTATAGTCACTTGGCTGGTGGTTTGGAACATTTTTTATTTTTCCATCTATTGGGAAGAATCATCCCAACTGACTAATATTTTTCAGTGGGGTTGAAACCACCAACCAGTCACTCTTAAACCTCTTTGTCTTTGTTTTCATCAAACCTTCCGTACTGAACATTAGAACTTGTCGTGTCATCCTGGGCCTGGGTACCCAGGGGGACACGACCCAAGAGTTCTAGGGCCTAGAAGCTGCACTTGTCGCACTAGTTTTCCAGCTTCTCGTATACTAGACATGGAAAGGATGTATATATATAATTTATCCTAATTTACATAGACATAACTTGACATAACTAAGTAAGACATAACTACATAGACATAGTGAATTGGTTTAATACATTACACACACATATATAGATATTATATATATATAAATATTATATCTATACATAGTGACTTGATTTGAATTGAGATCATCTATTTCCCCATGCAGAGTCCCAGCTCAAGTGTTGTTCACATCTCCGAGATCTCAGGTTTGGTACCCTTTGGGTCGCCCAGTGGGGACGACCATCTATCCTGGCATGCAATTTGCAGCGGTGTGGATTTGGCAAGCCCTGCACTTCCTACAGCAGGAGAGGGCTAAAGTGTAACTGGGACAACTTGGGATAGGTGGATTGATACTTACATGATATATATATATATATATATAATGTATATATACATAAATATTTAGTGTATATATATATAAATACATATTATTATACACACATATATATATATATATACACACCAATGGTTTTTACCATATTTTGCAATTCTTATATTTCTGAGCTTCTTATTTCCGACCTTTAACGTTCGGCATCATTCGCATTGGGTGCAGTTCGGCTCAACTTCAAGATTCCCAGATATTCCCAGCTGTCGCTCTTGGAATGCAAGCCCTGGCTGACTAGTTTAAGACATCTATGCACTTCATTACATGTTCCATATAAGAGTCACCATTTTTGGGCAAGAATATCTAAACATGTTTTACAGGGTATCCAAAGTTTGCTATGACTTTCTTGGCTGGCTGGAAGCCACCACCCGACTGGCGTTAGTCGTGCGTTTTGAGGACATGTCACTGCACGATGTTTGCGTTTTCATTCCCTCGTGGTTTGGTGTGGTCTCCACCATTTTCCTGGGACTGTTGACCTATGAGTGCACCCGCTGTGTTGACCCGTCGGTTTCTGGATCCTGCAACAAAGGGGTCGAGATGGGTCGAGGGTAAAGAACAAAAAGAGGTCAGAAAGCTCAGGGACGCTGTGAGTTTCCAAAGTAATGTGCTATTAATGTGCTTTAGTTGGGCTTTTCAGCGGTTTCTGTTGGGAAACTCGTGGTTGTATGTGGTTTAAGTTAAAACCAACCATTTGTTTGCGTTTAATTCAAACCACCATGAGCTTCCGAAGGGTTTTGAAGGACCACTGATGCTTTGTGGTGGTCCAATTCTTTGGCAGCGTTTTATATCCAAGCTTTAAGAGGCTCCCGAATTTGGGGCTATATGTGAAATAGTGAACTTGCGCGACGGTGCTGCAGTATTTTCCAAGGACATGGAATGACTGATGAACAGGTGATGTTTTAATAGTATTTTATAGATAGATAAATACACACACTAGAACACACACACATATGTATACTTTTATCCCTTTTACTTTGAGCACCTGTGAAGCCGGCACTGCTTGGATTGAAGCTCATGAAATGCGTTTTAGGACCATTTGAATTGGGAACTCTTTGGTTCCTGCTTCGCGTTCCCGCCAAGTGTGCCGGATGACTTCCACATGTCAAAGTGCATTGCACTTTGTAAATATATGGCTATATCACATGCTATGACCATCCTAAATCCCATGTACATGTAAATGGGGTTTCACATTTTATGGATCTTCCATTTGTTCAAAGACCACAGTCATCATCCAGTCATCGCACTTCAGCGTTTTCGGCGCTTTCCGCACTCGCACGCTGACTGCAGCAGAGGTTTGCGCCATGCTGGTTGTGGCCATCTTGCCCGCGCATTTGATGCGATCTGTGGCGGGAGGTTTTGCGCCTTGGAACACCGTGGCTATCAGCCTCCCAGGTCGCGGGAAATCCCCTAACGTTTTCATCGAACTCAATGGTTTTCCAGCTATGGAGCTGATTCCCGGAAGGTACACTATTTATATTTATATCTATCAATGATATGTTAGTTGCAATTCCCTTGGTCAAGAGATAAATTTAGAACAGTACTCTCCAAGGTTATCAAAAAGATGGGAGGTCATGGGGGTCACATATTACTTTTAAGATTTTTAAGAGAGTCCCAAGGTCTTGATGGGGTTGGCCCAAGATATCGTATAGAAATCCAAGAAGCAGCGGCTCTGCGCCTAGGACAATGAATGCATGGCCGTCAGCTTGATGATTCTCGGCCAGGATTTCACTGATCCTGACATAAAACTTGGCAGGTTTCCTGCCAGCCAATAACCCATAGGATCCATGGTGCTGCTATATATGATAACATTTACCATCAATATACCCCCAATGTTAGCATATATACCAGCACCATGGATCCTATGGGTAATGAGGTACTTTTCAGATCTTTTCAGTACCTGAACAGCTTTAGCTGCAACCATGGGGCGCAGATGAGTTACCTTTTTGTTTCCCTGTTTGTTTCCTGTGGAAGCAGAGACCATCACGGCTAGCATGACGAACGCGACTAGCGGAGAAGTGGGGGCATCCGATTAAAGCTATTACAGCCAGGACATCCATACTTAATCGCGCTTGGGTCATTAATTTGGACTGGCTTTCTTGGGAAAATCGTAGCTGGAAACTGGAAACCATGGATTTTCCCATTGAGAAAGGGGTTCCTGGAAATTGTCCCTCAAACAAGTCCATTGAGAGTTGAACGTGGCAAATGCCCATGATTTTCTGCGGTTTCAATTACTTTGTCCCAATGAACTCAGAAAAATGATTGGATCAGGAAAACAAATTTCAGGAAGGCCATTCATTTAAGCCATAAACTTATTTGGATTTTGGTACAGCATATTTCAAAAAGAACGCACCTAAAACCAACTTCCACCCATCCATTCAGGAACATAACAAAATCCTGTAGATTTCCCGGAGTGCGACGCCAGACATGAATTCAGGCAAGCCACCAATCCATTCGGAATTGGTTGCTACATCACATTTGATCATATTTGATCCCCATATTGATGGTTATATACCTGTATTGCTACATCACATTAGATCCTCATATTGATGCTTGTATATACTGTGATGTGGTTTCCTGATATTCAGGAACTGCTTGACCATCAAATTTGTCAAGTTCAGGAACTACATGTTGTTTGCTCAAAAACAAATCTCCCCTTTACTACCGATAAAAACCCTCCCAGAATTGTTTGAGACGGGAGCATCTGCATAGAAAACCCCTTTACTATACACCTTATTTAGTGTTAAGAAGCATTGTTTCAACCGGGTTGATGCTTTTGATCAATCCATTCAAATAATCCAAAATCACCTAGTTGGTTTTATTGCTGGCGATGCAGAGTTCCCATGATAACCCATTATTCCCGGCTTTTCCCAAGAAAACCAATCCCATTGAATCCCAGTGAAATCGGGAATCATTCCCATTACATTGCATTGCCTTTTTTTGTATGACATTGGTGATATTTTCTCACGATTGTCTCACTACATTCCCATGATATTCCCATTAAATATCACTATTTTCCCATTCCCGTTACACATATTGTCTTCCCATGATCTCTCCCTACATTCAGGAACTCCACCTTCTACTTCTGGTGCCGTTCCTTACGCAGCGATGGCTCCTGGCCCTGGGCGGTGTTGTCGGCCCTGTCGTACTTCTGCATGGTTTCCACCTGGGGTGGCTACGTCTTTGTGGTGAACGTTATCGTGCCAAACGCAGTGGGGATCAGCGGCGACACGGGACACTTAAGGGATGTCCAAGTTCCATCTTCAGATATCTTCAAATGATTCAAGCTCGGATCCATGTGAAATGTGTTCTTGGATCATCATTTGAGCATCATAAGATTGCTGTATCATGTGCAATTCGCACAAATTTAACATTTGACTTGAAGATGGGAACCTCCCATGATCCTCCCAAATTGGAAGGACCCAGGGGTGGTTGACTGAAACACAAACCCACCTCCCCCCCATAGCCATACCGCCATACCATGCTGAGGCATGCCATGCGTTTTGCCTCATGCTATGGCGACATTCCACCAAATTGCATCGCGTCCCGGCCAGAGATTGGGATGATTCCCATGGGAGAATCTAAGGGGAAACACGGCTTTTGCCGGCTTTTCCCATCAAATACAGTATATGACGGTTCATTATTACCGTATTGTCCAATTCACACGTGGATGTTTCCTGTAAGAAAATCATTTCAGAGATGTAATTTGCCTAAGTGTTCATAGGGTGAGTAGCAGTGAATTACTGTTCGTTTCCCTCCTTTTGGGTGGCCCTACCGTTTTGCAGTATGTCCATTGAAGCACCGGTGCGCTGATGTGGCCAGGGACCAGAGATAATCATTGAGATATGGCCATATTTGTCAAGGGTTGAACCTCCATGATGGCATTTTGATGCATTTTGATGGCCTAATGTTCGTCTCATTAGCTGTGGATTTATAAAGCCTGCCAGTAAAATGTGAGAGGGAAAAGACATACAGAAGAGATCCAGGTCGACGGAAAAGGCCAGGTTCTACTTTGGGCAGTCCTTTCCGACTTAACTTCATTTGCGAAAAATAAAAACTTTACTTGATATCATTTGGTCACAATTAGCAAGTCCCTTTTCAATAGATTTCAATAGATTTCACAACCGCAGAGTCCTTTTTTCACGCAATTTTCAGGATATGTTTGATCTGAACCTTCCTTTTGTCAGATAGGAAGATCCATGGATGGATGGCTAGATAAATGGTTTGTTTGAGACTGGTGTAAGGTATGCCCCCAAAAGTGGCAACGAAAATAGGGACAGTCATGATTTGACTTTTGGGGTACCCAATATCCTTACAAACGACGATAGATGTATATTATATATATAATTATATATATTTTTTTTTTTTTTTGTAATCAATTATGGCTTCCTGCAACCCCCACGTCTACTTCAGGCATTTTGCCATTTAAATATGTTCAACTGCTCGTTTGACACCACAGGATATTAACATGTACTATTAACACGTATTATTAAGCAATATTTCCATCATTTTCCATCTACATACCATTTTCATATTTATGGAAACGACCGCCATTATATATAGCACCATTGTTGCAGCTTAAATCCAATCTCCAGGCTCCTTCTCGATTTTCTTCATGTTGGGAACGGGCCTGGCAGTATGGCTGATCCCGGTGGTGGGTGTCTCGGAAGTGCAAGGTGGGTGTCTCTCTCGGTGACGCTCTTGGTGTTGGTGGATGGTAAGTTGCGATGAGAACATTGACTAACCGGGGGGAGGGGAAAAAAACGAACATGTTTAGAGCATCCCTTTGCCCACGGCAGAGATAGGTCAAGATTTAGGACCGGGCACATGTTGAGCTAATTCGTATGAAGCATAGGGGTACCCAATTTTGACCCATATCCATGTGCTGATGAGATGGGCATCGACTGAGATACAGATGTGGATCTTGTGCGGTTGTTGGAACTTTAGCGATCTCATGGCCAGAAAAACATGATGGTATATTATGGTATATTTACCATTATTTATGGTATATTATGGTATAATTTACAATATACCATAATATACCATAATTTTCTGAATCTCGAGGTGGGTCAGACTTATGATGCCAGCGAAACAGGCACCAAATCAGCACTTCCATGGCCATCTTGGGGTAAGGTTGGACGCCCCTGCGCAGTTTGGAGCAGCTGCTTCCCTTGCTGCAATTCTTCGCCCTTCAGGTCCTGGAGCTCCTTGGAAATGTTGCGAAATGGCCTGTGAAAGTAGGTGAACTGTGGTTAATTATGGTTTGTTAAGGTGTATTAATAGCTATAAAAAATGAGAACCAAACCCAATAATTGATGAGGTTGCCAATGAAACATGGTCGTAGCTATTTTTTTAAAGAGGTGTGTGCGTGTGATTGCGTTGAGAGGAAACATGGGAGGTAAAGGTTCTTGAGCAACTTGAGTGGTGGTTATGGAGGTATAAAAACAAGACTTTGCAGGAGCTTTCGGGAAAAACTGACGGTCCATGTGGAAGTAAGATCCAGGCAACGATCATGTGTTGTATTTGCATGTTGTAAACTGTTGTTGAAACGTTCCCGAACTCACAAATTTGATTGATTGGTTAGTAGTGGTTTTTGTGTATATATATATTATATTATATATATATATATAATCTGTGGTGTTTTTATCATAGGTGAATAGTTGTTATAGGGTTATACATAATATATATATATATATATACTATGCTATCCGGCCACCCCCACATATTTACATATATATATATATATATTTGATGTAATTATAGTATATATAATATGTTATCCGGGTCACCCCCATATGTTTACATATGTATATATATATACTATCTTATCGGGTCACCCACACATACACACACATATATATATATATATTACTTTAAACCCCACAACGCTTCCACTCAGCTATCACAGCAGCAACAGCCGGCTTTTTTCAAAAATTACCCATTTTGACAGAATTACCCATTCACTACCGGTAGCGAGCGTTCTAATTGCTCCCCATCATCCCAATTCTTGACAGAATTCCCCATTCACTACCGGTAGCGAGCGTTCTAAGGAACCCCAATCGTCCCAATTTTTGAAAGAATTCCCCATTCACTACCGGTAGCGAGCGTTCTAAGGAACCCCAATCGTCCCAATTTTTGAAAGAATTCCCCATTCACTACCGGTAGCGAGCGTTCTAAGGGCCCCCCAATCATCCATATGTATAATTGCTGCTTTTAAGATAGATAGCGTTCTAACAGGGAGCGACCGTCGCTCCCTCTTAGAACACTCACTACCGGTAGCGAGCGTTCTAAGGGAGGTTTCCTGTCGCTGGAGCACCCTCAATCTTGCGTTCTTCTCACTAAGACCCCAGCGAAAACACAAGATCATCCCTGGTCCGATGTTTGCCAACCCCCCCTTAGAACACTCACTACCGGTAGCGAGCGTTCTAACAGGGAGCGACCGTCGCACCCTGTTAGAACACTATCTATCTTAGGGAGCGTTCTAACAGGGAGCGACCGTCGCTCCCTCTTAGAACACTCAGTACCGGTAGCGAGCGTTCTAAGGGCCCCCGATCATCCCAATTTTAGAAAAAATCAATTCAAACCCCAATTCACTACCGGTAGCGAGCGTTCTAAGGAACCCCGATCATCCCAATTTTTGAAAAAATCCACTCAAATCCCAATTCAGCTGCTGTTGCTGCTGTGATAGCTGAGTGGAAGCGTTGTGGGGTTTAAAGTATATATATATATGTGTATGTGTGGGTGACCCGATAAGATAGTATATATATATATATATACCTATATGTAAACATATGGGGGTGACCCGGATAACATATTATATATACTATAATTACATAAAATATATATGTAAATATGTGGGGGTGACCCGATAGAATAGTATATATATATATATATTATGTATAACCCTATAGCAACTATTCACCTATGATAAAAACACCACAGTAATTATATGTGTGTGTGTGCGTGTTGTCCATATCCTTATGTTTGTTTGTGAAATCACTTTGTAGTTTGCTTCCCAAACCAGCTGCCTTTCGAACCCACCGCTTCGTGGCCGAAGTTCAAAGTTTGTTAAGTTCGATCCCAATACTTGGTGGGAACAAAAACCTGCAGGTTTCAACATGTTTCAATTGATAAATTGAGGCCAAAGGCCGAACAATGAAGCATCCCAGTGAGGAAAGTGGTTCATAAATAGCCATGAAAATCCTACACGAAGATATAAGAAGTAAACAGTTAGTATCCCAGTTGGAAGCTGGCCTCAATTAAGCATCATTAAACAACAAACCAACCTTTCAATGGCTGGGGATCTCCCTAGCCGAGGCTCCTGGCTGCCTGGCAGCGGCTTCGGCCGCTGCCGCGCCCGCAGCTGCGGCAGCGCCAATGGCAGGCGCTGCTGGCGGTGACGTCGCTGGCGGTCCTGCTGGGTGCGATGATGTTCCAACTGGGGCGCCTGGGTGATGCACTGAGCATGTGGAAAACCATGGAAAACTAACAAATGCCTCAGAAATCCCGGCATGAAATGGCGATTTGAATGGGAACATCATTTGCATTTTTTTCCATTGCAAATTCTTAAATTACCAGTGGACCAGAGGGCATATGGAAGAATATGATAAACATTGTGGTTTAACCATCAGAAATGGGGATATAAAACAAACCCAACCATTTTCATGGGGATGGGGATGTGTAATGGAACATCCTGATTTTGTGATTGGAAGTATGGTGGGATATGGCAGGGGCTGGATTGACGTCATGTTTAGTTTTGTACTTTTTCTGATTGGTTTGGATTGGACATGGCTGAGGTGTCATTTTTGGGCGGTCATGGTTGTCATTTTTCTGATTGGTCTAGGTTGGATAGGGCTGAGGCAATACCATTTTTACAATGCTTGCTAGCTGCTGGCTAGCTGCCGGCTAGCTGGCATTTTTCCAATAAGTGTTTCTTCAAACAGGTTGACCAATAAACAATGGAAAATGGGGAAGTGGGTACTCCGGAAGATTTATTATGAGGGTGCGGGTGAAGTGTTGATGTTTTTTTTCGTTGTCGTTTCTTTGATTCAAGATGGAAGCTTAACGTTTAAGCACCAGAGAAATTTGACAGGGAAGATGGGGAAACTGTCTTTCTTTTTTTAGGGAAAGCGAAGTCCTGCAATTTGGGCGTTTCACTCCGAAGATGTTTGATGACAGCTCGGGCTTTTTTGTGGGAATTTTCACACCATACTTTATGAAATAGTTCTCGGAACAGGATACTTCCAAGGGAAGAATATCTCCAAAGGCTCCAGATTTTAAACACCGAAACCCGGAACAACTGCTATGGAAACTCTTTGTTTATTGACAAAATGGCAGTTTGCATGAGAAGTTTACTTTGTTTTGGTGTTGAGTATTAAAAAAGAAAGAACTATAGGTGTTGATGGATTTCTAGTGACATGAAATCTAATGAATTGAATGGTTGAAATAGGTGGGACTTCGAAATTCGTTGCATTTTCACCTGAAAACCCGATCAATTTGGGGGTGAATGAAAACCATGCTTTCCCGTAGGTTTTCCCAGAAAACCAATCCATTCCGACTCAAGGGTGCAGCAATTTACTAATTCTATATATAATTATATATGGTCATGGGGTCCCATATTGTAACTTCCAGCAGCCTCCAAATCGATGGAAGAGTGGGAAGCCTCGAAATCCCGGGCAAAGCATCATCATCATCATCATCATCATGGAAATACTTTTACATTTTTCTGGGCACATCTATATTGTGTTTTTTTATCATAATATTATATAAAGTATATAATATTTAATATACACAGTATTGGCTTCTTCCCATGGTATATCCATCAGTCCATCACTCCCGGCTGAAGAATCCGAGGTACTTCGCGCCGCTGTCGGCGCGGGTGCGCGGCCTCTTCGTCAAGCATCGCACGGGGAATCCGCTCGTGGACTCCGTGGCGGAACATCAGGCGACGAGCCCACGCGCCTATTGGCCGCTCGGATGAGGGAAGTCTCTGTGGTGAAGAACATGGGTGAAACAACGGTGGGGTTGAACCTATAGCCCTATATACCATGGAAGTTTGGGATCCATTTATCCATATTTATCCATTTGGGGTAGGGGTTTAAGATGGTTTAAGCATGTTTGACATCGTTTAACTGATGGTTTATAAATGTTTATAATCCAATGATGATCCCATTGATCATCATTCACAATCCATGTGGGAGTTCCTGGGGGGTTTGAGACCTTGGTGGGGTGCGGAGGAATGATGGTATTTGTTGCTGGGGAACCTCTGAGTTAAATGGTGATTCAGACGGTTAGAATGGGGAAAACACACACATATATATATATGATAATGATATATAATTATGGATATGTAACTGTAAATATTTATATAATCAACAATGATCGGTAAAGATTAATAAAGTCGGAATGGACCTTGGATAACTTGGCGAATGGTTTGTTGTGAGCAATAACACCTGTTTTGGGGGTAAGCCAAAGTTAGCCACTGAAGCAGGCCACACTTGAAGAACTTTTGAAACGGACGAAGCGGTGATTTAAGACTTACATATACCAGATATGCTTTATTGAGAGAGGGACGCCACCAGGGCCATTTTTACAGTGTTGTGTGCTGTTTGTTTGTCATAATTTTTGCATGTTTTCCGCATTTGAAGGATATACTTCAGATTAAGATACTGCAAGGGTGACCCTAGCATACCCATCCGCTATTTCTTGAATCATCATGATGCAAGTTAATAGAAGTAATCATTGCACGACGTCATAGGTTGCCATCTTGTGTCAGTTTGGACAAGTTGGCTCTATTTGACATCAAGTTTAAGCTGACCAATATGTAGAGTTGGACTGCCGAATGACCTCAATAAGAGTATATTGACCGCGCAAATGATGAAAGGTATATGCTATAGCTGCTCGCTCCCCTGGAATGACAGCAGATGGTTATTCAAGAAACTGTCACAGTTTTTGGTGCTAGACTCTATGGAAAAGCGGACAATGGTTGACCCTCTAGAAAAGGTGGGAAGAAGAATTGCAAGAAACTACGACCTCACCATACAAAACGCATATTTTAATTTTATACCGCGTTTCTAGGAACGTGGTAAAATGGGGCCCTGGTGGCGTCCCTCCTCTGTATTTTGGAGGGGTGCAGTGTGGTGCATGTATTGCATTGTATTGCATTCTTGATCATGATTGATCTGACTGGTTTGTGACTCCTGTAAGTTGTTTCGGTAGGAGGGACATGACTAATTATCTATTTTTTTTTTTTTGCACCTGGTCACATGACATATTGTAAGGATCTGTAAGGAATCATGCTTTTGAATGCTCGGTTTAGGCTTAGGAAGGACAGACTCGTTTAGAGACGTAGCAGGGCACCCTGAAGCCACTAACAAACTACCAATGGCCTGATGGCCCTGACAGTTCATGGGTAACATCTTTCGGATGGAGGGCCCACTAACACAAAGGCGTGGCTGGATAGACTTTCCGAATGGTTCGGACATTGGAGTGACGATCCCAGCTTGTTTGGACCCGGTTTGCAAATACCTTAGGATCCTTAGGTAGGGTGGTTTGAATAAACAGTGTTTTTTTCCTTGTGACCATTGGTAATTACTTATTTCTAGCCAAGCTGGTACTTATTACTGTGGTACCATCTAACTGTATATATTCCATTACTGTATCTACCATATATCGTTTGAATAGTTACTCCAAAGCAACCTATCTGAGGGGGGTCCTTTACCGAGATGATGGCGCTCAAGATGTTTTCTTAGCCGCCAACCGAGGCAGTTCTTTCACCACATCTGTGTATTGGCACCCCTGGGATTTCTGGTGACGCTCTTCCAGATCTCCGAAGCCAAGAGTTGCTGACATGGGAATCATGGGAATTTAAGGCCACTTCGGGTTCAAACATCTCGAGATCTACATAGAGTCCCATAGATAAATCATGATAAACCATGTAAAAAGATGTGTAATTTCAGTAAATCCATGTAAAACCATGCATGTAAAACCACAGTATCAGAACTACACACACATATGAATATATATATATATTATATTATATTCATAAAATGATGATTCTGTCAGAATATGGTCCGAGTCTCGCCGAGCCGGCCAAGGGGATAGATCATCTCCTGACTTGGCGATTCATGATTTCATGAATAGCCACCCACTTCAGAAACCCTGATGTAGTAACTGCAGTAGTATTCCTAAAGCAATAAGCAATAGGATCCATCATCCCCAAATATACGTTTGATTGTGAAACCATCAAACTATATGTTTTTTGTTGAGAAAACAAAGGTATACCATATATTATACTTTACCAACATTAAACGTACATAGCTTTACATATTGTAAATGCACATGGATGTAAAACAAATTCTCTCAGTGAAGGGGTTGCCTTGGGAGCTTGGTGCTCCAGTTCGGCTGGTGCTCCAGTTCGGCAGCCAGGTTGGCTTATCACTAGATCAACGATGTTTTATGGGTACTACAACTATGGTTAGATGATGTTAGATGACCTCAGATGGGCAATAAACCGATGTTTCATGTTTTTGGGGCCACCCTCTTTTGAGAATCATAGTCCCGCCCCACCTCAACCACCTCTGGCGTGTGAAGTGGTTGAGGTTTTTTACTCTTGTACGGAGCAATCACCTACTACTTCTCAGCTACTTGGTAATGAAGATGTGGAGACCCTAGTGGATCCAGTGTGTCGGGGAACAGACGTAGCCACGCAGCCACAGCACACGCATTTATAAGCAATGATGCTGGTCGAAATCTGGCGTTGATAGGTGGTTTATCAGTTTATCCCATGATTTATATAGGCTTTCAACATGTTTCAACATGTTTTTCCACCCTCCTTTTGGTGTTTTTTGTTCCGGATTTCGCACCCATCCAAGTACAGCCGTTGTGCACATTTAAGGCGAAGATGAATCGCCTGATTTTGCTCCTGGGTCCCATCGCCGCCTCGCTGGGCGGGGTGGGACTTGCCACGGCCATCCGCTGGGCGCTGCGGCAATGGATGGAAGTCGCTGACAGCGGAGAGGCCGTGGCGAAAGGAGGGGTGTGGCAATGGTGTGGCGGTGGTCTGGGGATGGAAGGAAGATAAATCATGATGAATATATAATATACTGTAATATATATATATATATGTTTATATATACAGTATACACACACACACATATATATATATATATATACATATGTATATATATATATATATTTACAGTATACATGTGTATATATATATATATATATATCTGTGTGTGTGTGCGTGTGTGTTTCCACTTCCACACCACGTGTTACATCCCTAGCTACTTTCGTAGCCTGCGATCTTGCTGCACTTGAAATCCTCGTCGGGAGATTTGCGAGATTTACGAGATGTCAAGCAGAAACAAGTTGTCATCTCCTGATTCAACATAGCTATTGAAATCCATGGTTTTCCTTTGGAAACTATATATCTCCACATGGTGGATTTTCTGGGATTCTTCATGTCTATGTTGCTTGGAGAGTCAAGGGAAGCTGGTTGACGAGAAGAAGCAGCAGGAGATACCCTCTGGTAATTTAAAATAGCTATTGAAAATGACCATTTATAGTGGATTTTCCCATTAAAAATGGTGATTTTCAATAGCTATGTTAGTTTACCAGAGGGTACCTGATTTGAGATGGAAACTGGCTCATTTTTACATATTCAACGGATTGTTTTAAGTTGTAAGGGAAAAGATGCAGAAAACCTGAACCCCCCATATTTCATGGGGAAAATCCATGGTTTCCTGTCGAATTTCCTGTAGATTCACTGTATTTCTTCCCTTAAACCAATCCAGTGACATACTCATTCCAGAGTCAAGTTGGCGCCGGTATTATACCCACATGCCCCGTGGAGTCAAACACAATTCGCCTATTTTCATGACCATTACCATCTGGTTAACATAGACCCGGGCAAGCCGGCGGCGGAAGTTTCCCAAACATAAATGACCTATAGTTCAAAGACACCCTGTCCCGACCGTGTCCTTCCCTCGACACTCCACACCTCACACAGCACACTGCACTCTTCGCACTCCAAACTTCTCACTTCTCACTGCTTCCTTCACACTCCAAACCTCACACTTCACACTTCACACTGCACACTTCACAGTCCACACTTCTCACTGCTTCCTTCACACTCCAAACTTAACACTTCTCACTCCAAACTTCACACTTCACACTTCTCACTTCGCACTTCACTCACACTTCACACTTCACACTTCTCACTTCACTCACACTTCACACTTCACACTTCTCATTTCTCACTTCTCCCTTCACACTCCACACCTCACACTTCACACTGCGCTCTTCGCACTCCAAACTGAAACTTCACACTCCACACTTCACACTTCACACTTCACAGTCCACACTTCACACTTCTCACTTCTCACTGCTTCCTTCACACTCCAAACCTCACACTTCACACTTCACACTTCACACTTCACTCACACTTCACACTTCTCATTTCTCACTTCTCACTGCTTCCTTCACACTCCAAACCTCACACTTCACACTTCACACTGCGCTCTTCGCACTCCAAACTGAAACTTCACACTCCACACTTCACACTTCACACTTCACACTTCACACTTCTCACTTCTCACTGCTTCCTTCACACTCCAAACCTCACACTTCACACTTCACACTTCACACTTCACAGTCCACACTTCACACTTCTCATTTCTCACTGCCCCCTTCACACTCCAAACCTCACACTTCACACTTCACACTTCACACTACGCTCTTCGCACTCCAAACTTAAACTTCACACTCCACACTTCGCACTTCTCACTTCCCACTGCTTCCTTCACACTGCACACTTCACACTGCACTCTCCACGCCCCACACTTCACACTGCTCTAAACCTACGTGCAACAAAAAAACACTAGTGCCAAAATGGAGAAAATCTGCTAACAAATTTATTTCGCAGCCTTCATGCAGCCAGTCCAAGACGATTTACGAGATCCAGCTGCAAAAGACATTACGCATGCAGCCAAAGCAAGAAGCAACCTTGACGCAGCCATTCCAATGCGATCTGCGGAGACTGAGTTGCAAAACACAATAGAACTACGCGCAATGGCGTCGGAAATTGTAGCTCCAAAACCGGATCTCGACGCCAGAGCGAAAAAAAAACGATTTTGAAGCACTTTTTAAAAGGATTTTTAGAAGGAAAATCACTAGCGCCAAAATGGAGAAAATCTGCTGACAAATCACTGTCGCAGCCTTCATGCAGCCACTCCAATACGATTTCCGAGATCCAGCTGCAAAAGACAATAGTATTACGAATGCAGCCACAGCACGAAGCAACCTTGACGCAGCCATTACAATGCGATCTGCAGAGACTGAGTTGCAAAACACAATAGAACTACGCGCAACGGCGTCGGAAATTGTAGCTCCAAAACCGGATCTCGACGCCAGAGCAGAAAAAGTTGATTTTTGAAGCGTTTTTTATAAAGAATTGAAATAGAAAATGAAAGCAGGCAAAATCTGAAAGAATCCAGCTGCAGCAAGTTCACGCAGCCATTACAATGCGATTAGCAACAATCCCTAGCAAAACACAATGGTATTACGTCCTCAGCTCGTCCACCGAAGCATGTGAAACCTTCCGCCGCAGAGGTAGATCATCAAGGTTCGGGGACGGACTTAGTATGGAAAAACATAGGGTTTCGTGCATCTGCTATCTCTCAAAGACGCATTTCGTGCGAGACTTCCTCCAAAACTCCATCGGCAACTCATCCACCAGCACCACTTGCAACCCCATTTACAATGCGGGAACGATCCTACAGTTGCAAATCACAATGGAATTCTGTCGACCGCAAATGCACGAAACACAGGTGAAACCCCATTTACAATGCGGAACCGATCCGAGACCGATCCGACCATGATCCGCCCATGATCCGACCACACACGAGACCGTCTCGCAACCGTCGCACCGCAGAGGTAGATCATCGAGGTTCGGGGACGGACTTTGTATGGAAAAACATAGGGTTTCGTTCATCTCCTATCTCTCAAAAACGCATTTCGTGCGAGACTTCCTCCAAAACTCCATCGGCAACTCCTCCACCAGCACCACTTGCAATCCCATTTACAGTGAGGGAGCGATCCTAGAGTTGCAAATCACAATGGAATTGCATCGGCAACTCATCCACCAGCACCACTTGCAACCCCATTTACAATGCGGGAACGATCCACGAGACCGATCTAGAATATCCGAACATATCCGACCACACACGGAACCCGTCTCTCAACCCGTCGCCAAAAAGGGGCCGGGCGACCCTCCTCTTTCTCTCATCCGCCTTTCTTTTCCTCCCCCCCCCTTTGTATGGAAAAACATAGGCTTGTTCGTGCATTTGCTCATCTCTCAAACCGCAATTTTTCGTGCGATTGACTTCCTCCAAACCTGCCATCGGCCACTCCTCCATCCAGCACCACTTGCAATGCCATTACAGTGAGGGAACGATCCTAGAGTTTGCAAATCACACAATTGAATTTTATCGGCAACATCCCACCGCACCAACTTGCAAACCCCAACCCCGCCACTTACATTGCGGGAACGATCCTACAGTTGCAAATCACAATGGAATTCTGTCGACCACACATGCACGAAAAACAGTTGACACCCCATTTACAATGCGGAACCGATCCGAGACCGATCCGAGAATATCCGAACATGATCCGACCACACACGAGACCGTCTCGCACCCGTCGCACCGCAGAGGTAGATCATCGACGTTCGGGGACGGACTTTGTATGGAAAAACATAGGCTTTCGTGCATTTGCTATCTCTCAAAAACGCATTTCGTGCGAGACTTCCTCCAAAACTCCATCGGCAACTCCTCCACCAGCACCACTTGCAATGCCATTTACAGTGAGGGAACGATCCTAGAGTTGCAAATCACAATGGAATTCCATCGGCAACTCATCCACCAGCACCACTTGCAACCCCATTTACAATGCGGGAACGATCCTACAGTTGCAAATCACAATGGAATTCTGTCGACCACACATGCACGAAAAACTGTTGACACCCCATTTACAATGCGGAACCGATCCGAGACCGATCCGAGAATATCCGAACATGATCCGACCACACACGAGACCGTCTCGCACCCGTCGCACCGCAGAGGTAGATCATCGACGTTCGTGGACGCACTTTGTATGGAAAAACATAGGCTTTCGTGCATTTGCTATCTCTCAAAAACGCATTTCGTGCGAGACTTCCTCCAAAACTCCATCGGCAACTCCTCCACCAGCACCACTTGCAATCCCATTTACAGTGAGGGAACAATTTCTTTGCTAACTCTTTCTGTGACTAACTCTTTTTAACCCTTTCTTTGACTAACTCTGACTAACTGTTTCTTTGCTAACTCTTTCTTTGACTACCTCATATATCCTGACTAACTCTTTCTTTGACTGACTCTTTCTTTGACCTCACTAACTCTTTCTTTGACTAACTCTTTCCCTGACTAACTCTTTCTTTGACTAACTCTTTCCCTGACTAACTCTTTCTTTGACTAACTCTTTCCCTCTTTCCCTGACTAACTGTTTCTTCACTAACTCTTTCCCTCACTAACTCTTTCTTTGACTAACTCTTTCTTTGAACTAACTCTTTCCCTCACTAACTCTTTCTTTGACTAACTCTTTCCCTGACTAACTCTTTCTTTGCTAACTCTTTCCCTCACTAACTCTTTCCCTGACTAACTCTTTCTTTCCTAACTCTTTCTTTGACTAACTCTTTCCCTCACTAACTCTTTCTTTGACTAACTCTTTCCCTCACTAACTCTTGGTTTGACGAACTCTTTCCCTGACTAACTCTTTCCCTGACTAACTGTTTCTTTGACTAACTCTTTCTTTGCTAACTCTTTCTTTGACTAACTCTTTCCCTGACATTCTAAAAGTCCGTAACACGGAAGTTTCTCCCCCTAAACTTCCTTTGATGACTAACATAGCCATGGAAAATCACAATTTTTTAATAGGTAAACCATCTATGAATGGGCCATTTTCCATGGCTATGTTAAATAACCAGAGGGTAATATAATGCCATACAGTCTTCTACGAAAGGTGTTTTGTCCGATCATATTTTGGCAGACAACTGAGCATAGGGTGTGGGGTTTCCTGCCTTCTCCAGGAGAAGCTTCAGCTGCAAAAGCAAAGTCCAGGAAGAGCAAAGACTCTAAAAAAGCTGCCGTTCCTGAGAAGGCCCTGGGAAGACCAGCACAGCAGCACAGAACTTTTGTGTCCCACATGGTCCCACATAGTTCCAAGACGGGCAAACTCATTTTGAGGGCAATGGAGGGAGAGAGAGAGAGAGAGAGAATGGATGTCATTGTATATATGTTCGAGAGTGGTTGATGTTGACCCCAGTTCCATATCGAATTGAAATTTCTGCCACCTCCATCTCTTTTCTTTTGGACCCGCAGCCAGGAGAAAAGCGTCGAAAAGAACGGCCCTGAAGCCGAGAACTGGCGTGACATGTTGTTGGAGGTCTATGAAGAATTGAAGGCGTGGCCAGTTCGTCTGAGGAATCTATTGGCCCTTGTGAAGCAGGGTGGAACATGGAAACCATCCTTGCTGTGATCTGATCCAAGCTTTTGACTTTTCAAGAAGTAGCTTTGCTTTGCTTTGCTGCTGAGTTGCTGAGGTACTAATGTGGCAAACCCAAATCTCCAATTTAGGATAGTTTCATGGCTTATAGCAGCTATAGCACTAATCTCTGGTGATGTTGGAGATTGTTTGTGCTGATGCCACCTTTCGCTTGGTAGGCAGCATGCAGTTTTGTATTTGCGGTGGGTGCATGTCACCTGTACAGTAAACGCATGTAAACGCTATTATCTATTGACATTGTTTGTACATTTCAGAGATGCACGTTTCAGAGATTCGAGATGTTGTGCACGTTTCAGAGTTGTTTCGCACGTTACAATTCATTATCATTGACGACCATATGATTATTTTCGGATGAGGTGGGGCGGGGTAGCGGGGCGGGGCTGGGTGGGCTGAAAACGTTCATGTTGTTACTCAAGCAAGTTCGAACAGACAGGCTTTTGATGCTAAGCTATTAATTTTCTCCAGGAACTCCCACCATGCTCGTGCAAATGAAATACCGTAAATCAACATGTTGGTTTTTAATGAATAAATAAATGGTTTAAATGGATATATATATATATATATTAACAATGAATAAACAAATTGTATAGTTAATTAAATATGAATTATATATATATATATATGTGTGTATGTATTATATCGCGAAAGCAAGATTTCCGCCCTTGTAAATTGCTGAAAACGATTCAACACCAGCGCAAATACCAATCAAAACACAAGTCTGCGCAAGATACTTATGTTCAAAAACCCTGAAAGGGGTAGTGAGAAGGCCAATTGTGCGTGGCCGCTGCGGGCGGCTTGACCTTGTTCGTTTTTTTTTGGTTTACCGCGTTGTATCACGCAAACATGGTATCCAGGATGGGCAACAAAAAGGTTGACATTAGTTCCATCACACCAGAAACATTGATGTTACATTGTGTTGCAATTGCTTGTTGGTTAAATCGATGCCAGACCAGTAAATGAGAGTGAATAAGAAGTAGCTTCGGCTGCAGTAAATTTGAGAAGCTTTAACGGTGTTCAGCACGTCCCCTGAACTCACACCTGCCGTATAGCAAGGGCGAATACCTCAAGTTCAGTGCGTGGACAGTTGACGCATGCCCTGCCCTGGCAGTCTCAGACCAAAGTGAGGATTTATTCACCCATTAATCACCATTAATCACCAATTAGATAACATATACCATTAAACACTATTAGATATGGTTAAATCGCCATTCAACAGCATTAATCACACTAGCCAACTAATGTCTTCACCATGCCAAACCAAGCCCAAGCAGGTACCCTTCTTGGAGGCTTACTATGAAGCGAAATGGCAGAGGAAGTCCTCTTCCGTGCTGATCCTCTTGATGTTTGTCGTGTGTGGCATCTCGCCAGGGTGTAGCCTTGAATTTTCTTCCTTCATTTGATTTATCCTCTAGGAATCAAACATGGCTAACTGGAGAAAATCCACGAAAATCCATCATTTATATTTAGGACTTATTTAGTTCTATGGTCACTGCATGTAAATGATTGTAAATGCACGTTTATAAGGATTTCCCGAGCAACCATGTTGATTACCGGGGTGCTACACTGCCGAAACATTTGATGGAACCTATGAATCACTGGTGACAATAAAACAACTTAAAGCGACTTGGGGGTTTCCGAAAATGGTGGATCCCCAAAAACCATGGGTTTCCATATTAAAATGGTCTAGTGACTTGGATGATTTGGGGGTACTCTCATGACATAAGAACCCTCCACATTGTAATCCCCCAACTGATTCTTTTCGAAACCAACTCTGCTTAGGCATGGAGTTTATCAACTACTGCTGGGTGGTTGGGGAGCGCTTGTCGCAAGCCTCCATCATATTGAAACGTCGGACCGAAGATGGTGAGGCGACATCATACAAATTGCAACCCCCCCAAAAGGATAAAGATAGAAGGTTCAATTATCCTGCAATTTAGTACTTTTTTATGGGTTGGTAATTACTTAACTGTTCATTTCTGTGGTGTTGAGTTCCACACGATGACCCAGAGTGCTGGATGTCGGCTCCCCGAGTCTGAATTTCTGCGAACTTTGGAGCCGACTTGTGGAGTTTCTCCAGGTGAAAACATCTCAAATATCAGTGCTCAGAATGTCACGGCTTTGGCATTTGCTCACGGATTATAAGTGAGCTCAAGTATCATCTGCAGGTCTGTGATTTTTTTTGTTCCAGGTACCCTTACCCTTCGGTTAATCATGGCCATGGCTATTCAATGATTGTCCACCATTGAAAGCTCCATATTTTGTTGGGAGATCTCCCGGCTAGCCATGTTTGACAACACCGAGTGTAGGCATTAAATCCACTACATACCCATTACCCTCCGATAATCAAGAATGGCAATGGAAAATAACTGTAGGTTTTAACGGACCAACTACAAATTGGTGTGATATCAGTGATGTCCATTGCCACGTTTGATTACTAGAGGGTACCCACCAACATCCATCAACGAATCCAGTACCATGAAAAGTCCAATGAAACCTCAGCAAAAATCCCATTAGATCCCATGAAAGCCCAGGATATAAATCCCAGGTGATATCCCCATGATCTCTCTTATTCACCGCCAGGTGATCCTCATCGATGACTACCGCCAGGCCTATTGGTGGCTGCGTGACCAGACGCCCCAAGATGCTCGGGTCATGGCCTGGTGGGTGCCTTGGAGAGACTGAAAAAAGGCATCGCCTTGGAATCCACGTCACTCCTCCGTTTCCCTTTAAAGGGGGATAGGGATTAGTCATTGGTAATTTAACATAGCTATTGGAAAATCACCATTTTCAATGGGAAAATCCACTATAAATGGCCATGTTCAATAGCTATGTTGAATTACCAGAGGGTAGTCCATTAATATCCATTAATATCCATTACTATAATATGATTCATATCCATTAGTCCAGTAATAGGATTGACATATTATAATCCCTATAAATAGGATGTTCCACAAATATGTCCCTCATAATAGGATTCACATATTATTATACCCTCTGGTAAACAAACAGCTTGCTATTGAAAATTGCCATAGAAATAGTTGATTTACCCATTCAACATGGTGATTTTCCATAGTTATGTAAACGTTTACCGGAGGGTATACCGGTATACCGTATACCAATTCTATTGCAAATCATGAGCTATGACATCCCAACACATAGATACATGGGGTTTTCAAAAATGGGCACATCCACTATATTAATGGATGGTTTCTTTCATGGAAAATCAAGGGGGGTCAATGAAAAATCCGAACACAACATGGATGATGATATTTGGGGGTACCCACATGACTTTGAAAACCTCCACGTAGATGTGGAAAATCAACAATTTTAGTGCTTGCAGATACTTCATCCATAAATGGGGCAATGGTTTCCACATTTGGATTCAATATTTATGTACTGTATATAAATATATTTATATACATTGGTCCCGTGGTGTATGTAACGGTTAACACCCTGAAGAGAGCGAGATAGATACGTAAATATGTATATTTATATACATTTATATTTTTATGTGAGTGTCCATACTCTTTTATTTTAAACAAACTGTAATGTAACAAATGAACATGTGTTTTTTTCAGAATGTCGATCACTTGTATTATATTATAGTGTAGTCTGGTATAATATAACCTGATGCGATATGATACACACTATATTGATGCAACATCTGCAGATTGCAGAGTCTGTGATATGCAAACGCAAACTTCCGAATCTTACGGTAATCTTACGGTACGCAACTTTAGATTGATGCTTCTAGAATTCAATGGATTGTTTCAAGGGAGAACCTACAGGAAACCATAGATTTTCCCATTACCCTCCAGTAAATTAACATAGACCCTGGCAGATGGGGGTGGGAAGACTAGTTTCCATTAAACATTGGTGATTTTCAGGGTCTATGTTAATTTACCAGAGGGTAAATATAGGGTTTTTCTGTTTTTTTTCTCTTAAACCAATCCATTGAATCCAACCACCAAGTTGTAATTTGATGCAATTATTTTCATATTTTTTCCATATTATTGTCCATCAAAATTATGATTCTCCACCATATATGTATATACTTATTATCCCTTAAACCAATCCATTGAATAATGTTCAATAGAATAATCTACTTATATCGATATCTATATAGATGTGGTATAGAATATTAAGATATACAAATATAACTACCGTGGTTAAAACAATAATAGACCAGCCCATTTTTGATGGTTTATACCACCCATAAACATGGTGAATTTGGGAAGGGTTTATGGCATTGTTTCAACCACATTAGCTATACTGGTTGGTGGTTTCAAACATTTTCTATTTTCCATTTCATATATGGGTTGTCATCCTTCCCATTGACGACCTCATATTTTTCAGGATGGTTATTGCACCACGAACCAGATATCTTATGATATTCCCATGAGATCCCCATGAATTGATGATTATCATCCCCATTAATCCCCATATTAAGCTTGTTTTAATCACAATTTTTCATTAAAACAAAATATATAAGGTTGTTTTAATCACAATTTTTCATTAATCCCATGTTTTAAGGTTGGTTATGTTGTTAATCAAGGTATATGTGGTAAATCCACTATGTCTATGGTTGTTTTAACCACATACCTTGATGCAGCGTTACGCGTGGCGAGGATTACGGCTATCAAATCAATGGACTCAGCAATCGCACCACTCTGGCGGATGGAAATACCTGGAACCATGCGGCTGGACGGATGGTCGAGTTAAACAGATCCAAACAAGGGGTTGTCAACCGCAAAAACACACATATATATATATTTATATACATAAATATGAATAAATATTTAGTTATATATATATATGTGTGTGTGTGTTATATATTTTTATATTCAGTATATATATATATTGTCATATATCTAAAAATGAAACAAATAAAAACTAGAGAAACTGGCATACATATAACATGATAAGAACCGATGTAGCGACCAATACAGTAGTTTGTTGATGTTTGTTGTATCACTGGATGGCGATTTTAATTGTTGCGTTCCTTTGATCTTCATTCCCCTTTTACTGTATATGAAAATTAGATAATCCCTGTTGACGGGCACGTGCTGTCTTAGATGGGCTCAAATTTTCGGTTGTATAGGTTTGACTTGACCTGCAAAAGGATTTGCAGTTGTTGCCGTCAAAAGACCGTCGGAGAACTTCAGGAAATCCAGATGTGAACGCACCATAATTTGAAAGATGCAATTGTCACTGATCTGCTCTACAAATAGATGTCTTACAACGCTTATATAAGATTATATATATATATATACATACATGTTTTTGAACGCTTTTGACTTCGCCCCATTCCCACCCACACACAAACACAGACACACACACACATGCGTGAATGCAGGTTTGGGCACGTGCGTGTCCTGCATATAGTTGTTTGCCACAAATACGGGGTTGTATGGGGCTACATATATTGACCAACTCATTTTTTTTGAAACAATGTCTGCAGGGCATCAAAGATTGAACCATTTTGGGTATCAATCAGCTTGGGATTTGTAAGGAAAGGTGGGGAACCAATCAATAATTGGACAAACAAATGGATCCATACCATATTTTACCATTGATAATTACCATTGATAATTACAATTACCATATAATTACCATAATTACCATTGAACCAAATAAATCAGTGGATTCATTGATTTTACCATATTTATCCAAGTTACCCTCCGACCTGTGGGAGCAATCTCAGGAGCACATCGCCTTGCTGGGCAAGTGCCTCACAGGGCCGGAGAAACAGTCCTACGAAGTGATTCGAAGCTTGGACGGCGGCCGTTTCCGCGCTTGTGCCTGCGTTGGAAGTGTGAAAGAAAACTTGAGAAAACATGTGTATATATTTGTATAGCAATAGATGGATGGATCGATAGATAGATGGATAGATAAATAGGTAGATAGATAGGTAGATATCTCACTGAATTATGGAGATGTATAATCTTTTTTTTGTTGTCTCCCCTGGTTTCATGTGTGACTTCAGTACCTGTGACTATCATGCAATGAGTTACAGAGAAATATATATTTTATGGGTATCTATTATATTATATATTATTCAAAAATATTTTGATATATGACCAATACTTCACTGTGAGAAGGAGAGGCTGAGAGAAGGAGAGAGAAAGATGTAATTCTGGAATCTGACCGATATTCATAGGGGAAAAACATCAGGTACAACCAAGGCAGATATCAAAGGCGGGAACTTCACCAAGGACATTTGGCCGACTACGTGCTGATTTGGGCGGGAGACAACGGCGATGATATCGCGAAGTCGCCTCATATGGCGCGAATTGCCACATCCGTTTATCACGACGGGTGCCCAGGAGATCCCTTGTGCACACAGCCACCGGACATGTTTTATGTTGTGAATGGGAATCATACAATGTGAGGCCCCCAAGATATCTAAGTTGGTTTATAATTCCAATAACTATAGTTTTATGGTACTTACAACTATAGTTACTGGGGCTTATAAACCAACTTATAATAACTGGGGGGCCTCACATTGTATGAATGGGACTTTCATGGGCAAATTTCCGTAGACCATGAAACGGCCCCTTCAAGCCGCAGAAATGTGTATCTGATGCCCTCTATACACCAAGTGTTTCCGAATCAAATCCCAACTACCATGTTTTTTTGTTCGTTTCATGTGACTGTAGCATTTCATCACTGGCCATTTCAGGAACCTAAATTAGAGGTACCTACCATATATAAGGTCTATTTTTCAGGCCTAAGGGGATATATCTCCGCCTTTTTTCTGGTCCCCAGTGGATGAGTACCTCATGGGCTTTTGATTTCACCGAGGTTCCACCTGAATCGCCAGACGCGCGAGCCTTCGGAGATGATGAAGGGTTCCCTGCTTTGGAAGATGTACGCGCACGAGCGCATGGACGAAAAAGTGGACCCTGAGCTCTTTGAGGAGGCCTTCACTTCGGAGCATGGCAGCTTGGACGGGAAGGACAGGTAAAGAATGGAAATGGGTGATAAACAAATACACACACACATATACATATATTGTGGATTTGCAGCCACTTGTGCATGATCTGAATGTAAATTGGAGGTCGAATACGTGGTCGTATTGACATATTTCCCTGGGGCTTTACCACATTCAGCTTTCTGCCGTTGAAGGTGGCGGCTCAACTCCTGTTGAGGGCTTAGGGTAGGGCCCCTTAGCCTTGTACGACCGGGTTCGTACGTTCCGGCGCTGCCATAGCAAAAGGTGCTTCGCTCCGGTGGGCGTGCTTGGTGGAATTTGGAAAGGACCAGGGGTCCCTTGAAGAGTTTGAATAGGAGAAGGGGCCCGCTTCCAGTGTTTGGTTTGGCACCAACACTGGTAGCGGAGCTACCGTAGCCGGAAAGCCTGGAAACAACAGAATCTCCACTGTGATTTACTAGTGCTTTCTGCAAGCTACAGATCCAGGATGTCTGAAGGTACAGAAGCGGTGGGTGCCATCCAACCGTTGGGAGTCCAAGGGAATTCATCCTTGACACACCTCCCATGGGCAATGATACCATCGTTCAAACCTGGGGAGACGGACATCAACGAGTATACGAAGAAGCTTGAGTTCCTAGCAGGTCTTTGGCCACCAGAACACCTCAGTCACTTGGCTCCCCGAGCCGCGATGCTTTGTGAGGGTTCCGCTTTCAAGCGGATCATGCGTTTGGATCCAAGTAAACTGAAGGTGGGCACACTGGATGGGGTCAAATTGATCGTTTCCACACTTGGTGGAATCTGGGGCAAAAGCAAGCTTGAGGACAAGTTCGAAAGGTTTGAGAGGGCCATCTTTACGACGGCCCAGCGACAAGATGAATCTCATGAGAGCTACTTAGCTCGCCACGACTACCAGTTCGAGGAGCTTTTACAGATGGGTGTGGGCTTTGAGGAAGTCCGCGCATACATTCTTCTTCGAAATTCTGGCCCCAGCTCGGAAGACAAAAAGAAGTTGATTGTGGATGCGCAGGGAGCCCTTGAATACAAATCCATAGTATCATCACTGAAACTTTTGGGTTCAAAGTTTTTCCATGAGCTTCAAACTGGTTCCAGGACGTCAAGCCGTAGCAAAACATATGATGTGAATGCAGTGTTGGATGATGAAACTCCAGCGTTGGCAACCGATGAAGAATCAGTTTATATGGGCGATGCATGGGATGAACCAGAAGTTGCCTATGATGAGAACGACCCTGATGCAGTGGTATGCATGCAGTTTGAGGATAGTTTGGTAGAGGCCATGCAGTCAGACCCAGACCTCGCATCATGTTTCAACACATACATGGATGCTAGGAAACGTTTGTCTGACCGAAACAAAAATCGTGGCTTTTGGAACAGCTCCAAGGGCAATTCTCCGTGGCAGAAGGGGAAGTTCAAGGGCAAGGGGAAGGGATCGTTCAAAGGTCGAAAGCCTCTTGCTCAACGGATCTTAGAATCCGAATGCCGCAGATGCGGTGTTCGTGGTCACTGGAAAGCAGAATGCCCTCTGAACCGTCAGGGCTCAGCAGTGCAGTCAGGCAGCAACAGTGCCAAAGAAGGAGCATTCGCAGGTACGATCACCTCGATTAGCCCACAGAACAATGACGACGTAGACATGATTCCCATCCACAGCCACCAGGATGTTGCTCACCTGAAGCCTAGTCATGGAACATGTTACATGGTCATGAGTAATCATATGCCAGGGTCGTCATGTCATGCTAGTGCCTCCCTCAGTCATGGTCAGATGTCCAGGTTTTTGAGCTTGTTGAAGAAGCGCCTAAGCCCTCAACTCCCGAGATCTCCTGAGCCTGAGTCCGCAACCGCCTCGGCAGATGAAGCCGATGTAGCCATGTTTGTGAGTCATGGGCCGTATGGAATAGTTGACCTCGGTGCCAGTCAGTCCATAATTGGTAGACAACAAGTACATGCACTAGTGTCTTGTCTTCCCGAAGAGGTTAAGATGAAGGTCCGTGAAGTTTCGTGCAGCACCACGTTCCGATTTGGAAACAGCAGTACGGTGAACTGTCGACATGCCCTGCTCATTCCTTTGTCCAGGTGGTTGGTAAAAATTTGTGTGGTTGATTCTCAAACACCGTTTTTGATTTCCAATAATGTGTTCAGAACGCTGGGGGCTTCGATAGACACAGCACAGGACGTAGTTTCATTTGCCAAACTTGGATTCTCCATGAAGCTTACACTGTCGGAAAAGAAGCTGTATCTCCTCGATTTTTGTCAGCTTGTGAGCCGTGCCCAGACACCAGAGTCGGTTTCCAAGAATCCTACCGATGAAGAACCGCCAGTCATGCATGTGCAAAAGATAACCGGTAGTGATGCATGTACAGAAAATCTCTGCAGTGTGGCTAGCCTGCCAAGCAATTCGATCGAGTTTCCATCCGCTCAGAACTCTGGTGATCAAGGGACCACAGACCATGTCGGCGCTGTCGTTGGTCGAGCGCTTCTCCAAGGTAGCCGAGAAGAAGAATCAGGACGAGTTCATGAAGATGTCATATGCCGATCTGTCGGAACAAAGGATCACCTTCGGCGAGACCAAAGTGAATCAGCGCTACATCGATGTGGTCCAGCAGGATCCCAAGTATGTGAAATGGTTCACGGGGAAGTACCAGGACAGTCAGAAACCGGGTCATCGCTCCTTCCTCTTCTTCATCAACATGTATGTGGAACGCATGGAGCTGACTCAGGGGACAGATCAGCCAGAGTCCCCTTCCAACAGCCCAGTGCAGAAGACCCTGAGGGCCAAGTCGAAGAGCGCCCCTCGGGCATCATCTCCTCCGATCGAGAGATCGACTTGGTCGGACGACGAGATCAGCCGTTCCTGGAGCGTGGAGGAAGAGGTGAATCAGCAAGGCCACCGTCTCAACAACATGGAGAGCACCTTGGCCCAGATCGCGCAACAGATGCAGGTCCTGACCCAGATGGTGACCCAGCACCATCAATCGAACGCCCAGCTGAACTGAGAGCCGGAGAAAATGAGATGGAGTTCCGATCACTGATTTGTGATGAGATTGGCTGTCAGGCAGTGGTCCAACAATTGTCTGATGTTAATGATGCTGCTTATTTTCATGACGTTTTGTTACAACAAAGTGAAAAACAGAATTGGGTTTATGAAGAAATGTGGACGTACTGGAAAAAGAAATTTTCATGGATGAGAGCTGAAGGAGTGAAACAACATTGGTCCGTTTCCAAATGTGACTTGTTGGAAGTTTATTGTTCTGAAGACAGCCAGCTCACCAAACAAGCAGTGTCCAATGGCCTCAAAGCTTTCCGATTTGGCCTCCGGCATGGAGATCTTTCGACCTTTTTGGGACGCACAAAACTGTATGATGTGTTATGGATTTGTCGACCGAAACACATTTGGACTTCTCCCCGCTGTGGACCGTGGAGTTTATGGAATCATCTCAATGCAGGGAAATCCGTAGCATTGGCCGAAAGAATCCAGCAAGATCGCCGATCTGAAAGTGTGCATTTGCTCTTATGTGATGGATTGTTCCGCCTGCAAGATTGGAGAGGAAGCACTTTCCATTTTCACCTCGAGCAGCCACAGGGTTCCGAGTTGGTCCATCAGGATGAAGTTGAAACTTTAGTGAAGAATACTTTCAAGGCTGTGTGTGACATGTGTGTCGCAGGACAACTACGACACCCAAACAGCCATGAATTCCTCAGGAAGAGAACGCAAATCCACACCACTTCCGAAATCATGTGGCATGTGATTCAGAAATTTCAGTGTGTGGGTCATCACCATCATGATCCCATAGCAGGGTCCTGCAAACCACAGGGATATCCACGGATGAACCTAACCAAGTATACTGAAATGTATACGGCTTTGTTTGGTCGCCGTCTCAGCCGTGCCATGCAATGCAGTAATCAAGTTCAGGAAAAGACCATTGGCCATCGTCACTTGTCGGTTTTTGCTGTCGACACTGTTCATGAGGACCCAGAACCCAAACGTCGAAGGCTGTCAGGTAAATTCCATCCGGAGCATTTGTTTGTTCCTGCTGAGCCGAGTTCATCCAGCCCAGCCGACCCTGGGACCAGCAGGATGCATGCTGACGAAGCTGTGAATCCTCACAGTGTTCCGACCGTATCCAGACTTCTTGAGATCGCTGAACACTGTGCTCCCAGAGTAGGAAAGGTGGTGTTCCAGGATGGTCCCTTGTTCAAAGCAGCTCAAACTAGATACCCTGACAAGGTCATCGTTGCAATTGATGTTTGCCGAGGAATTGACAGACTCAGAATCTGTCCGGTAGGGTCCAAAGGATTAGCTCCATATCGTAGGTCAGTAGGCAAACGTCGAAGCGATCTCCAGGCCTTTGAAGATGAGTCCTGGGAAGCCTGGGAGGAACTTTCGAAGCGTCAGCAAGTCCGAAAGGGGACACCATCTCGTTTGCTTGTCACGATTTTTGCATCCAACAAACGTGCCAGTCCTTCTGCCCAGCTTGAGGATTCCGAGTCTAAGAGGATTTGTCCATCAAGTCAGAACAGTGGGGTTAACGGTAAAGATGTTGTATCCGAAGATGTTCAACCCCAAGATGTGCCTGTACTTCAACCCGACAAGCCTGTGGACACCTCCTCTGAAAATCCTGCATCCGAACGGAAGTCCCAGACTGAAGCAGACTCTGTGAAATGCCGGCAACATGGGCCCAAGTTCCTTGCACTGGAACTCCATGACCAGAATGTCATCAAGAAGATTCATCAAAACTTGGGTCATCCGGACAACAGAGTGTTGCAGCTGGCACTAAAGCGCTATGGATGGTCCGATCGTGCGGCCGCAGCCTGTACAGATTTTGCCTGTCCTGCCTGCATGGAACAGCAATTGCCCAAGATTGCAAGACCTGGTAAGTTGTCCCAACCAAGAGACTTCAATGATCACATTTCATTTGACGGAGCCGAATGGCGTGACCCAAATGGTAAAGTATACAGTTTTTATCATGTCATTGACAGTGCCACCAACTACCATGTTGCTATTCCATATCAACAAAAGACAACACAAGGTCTCATCGATGCTTTCACTGATGCGTGGCTCCGTTGGGCAGGTCCCCCTAAAAGCCTGATGTTTGACAGTGCAACCGAAGCGAATAGTGAGGGATTTGGTAGGTTTTTGCAAGACCACGCCATCCAGAGCTATGTGATCCCTACTGAAGCCCATTGGCAGTTAGGCAGAGCCGAACGACATGGTGCCACACTCATGCGTATGATTGATAAGTATCATGCGGAACGTCCTATATGTAACCATGATGATTTCAATCAATGCCTAGTTCACCTTTGTCATGCCAAAAACGCCATGTCTCGACATGAGGGTTACACTCCAGAGTTATGGGTGCTGGGAAAAATGAAACCTGTTCCAGGTGGGAATACCAATCAGTATCTAGATAGTGCCAGTTTCAGTGGTTTAGATGATGCAACAACTGAGGGCAGTCACTTCCAAGAACTCATGGCACGTCGTGAAGCAGCCCGAGTTGCGTTTGTCCGTGCGGACCACTGTGCCACCTTGAGAAGAGCACTCCACGCCAGATCCAGACCTGATCGGATCAGTTTTCAAGCAGGTGATTTTATCATGTACTGGAAAGATGGCAAAGGTGCCGAGAAGGGTGCCTGGCATGGGCCGGCCAAGGTCTTGATGTTGGAGGGTCCCAACCTGGTGTGGATCAGTCACATGACACGTCTCTTTCGGTGTGCTCCCGAGCATGTTCGTCTGCTGTCTGCCGACGAAGCCAGGGTGGTCCAAAGCCAAGACCCTCAAATGTTTCAAATGCCTAGTCGCAGTGGAACTGGAGTATTCCAATATCGAGAGTTGTCCCAACAGGCTGGGCCTCCACAGACGTTTCCTGGAAATCCTTCGGTGAATACCAGCAACATGAATAACACCTCAAATAATCCGGAACCTGAAACCCTTATAATCCCGAATAACCCCAATATTAATAATCCAAATATAATGAATCAAATCCCTGAACCTGATGCACTCGAATCCACAGGCCAACCTGACGATGAACCAACAGTGCCTTCCACTCCAGTTGCTGAAGATCCCGCCATTACCACACCTATTCCCGATGAAACTGATGATGATTTATTCACAGATACACATGACCATGATCACTGGATGATTGAAGGAAATATTCTCAGGAGGATCCATGTGACACCTCGGTTAAAGCCTTTCTTTCCTCACGATGCATGGAAATGTCCTGTCGAGGCTGATTGTCTGGACCCAGTCAGAGTGACCATCGGAACATATGTGTCAGGTGGACCATTACGTCGTGAAGAGCCCTGGACAGACAATGTCATGAGTCATACTCCTTTTCCTGAGCCATGGACAGGTCAGACCCAATTCCTAATCCGTGACACCTCACGAAAGGTTGAGAATCCCAAAGTTGCCATGACACTTGAAAATACCGAGGAACTTTCAAAGGAAAGTCATCAAGTTTTGGTCGCTGAAATCGAAATGAACAAAGATGATTACAACAAATGCCTGGGAAGAACGTATGACTTCCAAGAGACATACCTCGCATCTGCAGCCAAAAGACAGAAAGTAGAAGTGAAACTCAAGGAACTCAGTCCAGAAGATCTGAAGCTTTTCAAACAGGCTAAAGAAAAGGAGATTGATTCATGGCTAGCCACTGATACTGTGCGGCGTATACTCAGGAACCAAGTTCCTGAGGGCCAATTGCTGCGATCACGATGGGTGTTAACATGGAAACCGTTAGATGCCGAAGACCAAAAATCACTTGGAATGACCCGCAAAGCCAAAGCTCGTCTTGTGATTCTAGGATATGAAGATCCATTGATTGACACCTTGCCGAGGGATTCCCCTACTCTTGGCCGTGATAGCCGAATGCTTGCACTTCAGTGCATAGCCAGCTACCGTTGGATGGCCCGGTCCTTTGACATACGGACGGCTTTTCTGAGGGGCAGCCGACAGGATTCACGAATCCTGGGCATCGAACCCCCTAGTGAGCTGAGGCTAAAAATGGGTCTACAGGAGAATGAAGTATGTGAACTGCTTAAAGGAGCATACGGCCTGATCAATGCACCTCTTTTGTGGTACTGCGAACTCAAAAACGCATTACTAGCCCTGGGATTCCTCATTTCACCCATGGACCCATGTTTGTTTGTCCTACCAAAAAAGAAACCTGACTTGAATAGTGACGAACCACAAATTCATGGAGTGTTGGGCATTCATGTAGATGACGGGATTGGGGGCGGAGACACAGTTTTTGCTCATGCCATCAGCAGTTTAGAGAAACGTTTTCCGTTTGGCAGTCAACGGCAAGGATCCTTCACTTTCACTGGTGTTCAACTATCTCAGGAGGTTGGTGGAGACATTGTTTTGAGTCAACAGAGTTACATCAATGATATACCTCCCATAAATGTCAGTAGGGATAGACGCCGCACTCCTGAAGCTTCCATCACCAACCAAGAACTACAAGACCTGAGAGGTTTGATTGGAAGCCTTCAATATGCAGCTTCAAACACACGTCCTGACCTGTCTTGCCGATTGAGCTTATTGCAAGCTCGTGTGACTTGTGCGACAGTTTCTGATCTTCTCCAAGGGAATCGGATTTTGGCTGATGCAAAGAAGTTTTCCGACACCGAAATTCGTATACAATCACTGCCTCCCAAGCAGGTTAGATTCATATCATTCTCAGATGCAGCATTCGCAACACGTGAGAAAGCGCATTCTCAGAAGGGTTGTCTAATTCTAACCACTACGGGTGACATTGACCAACTGAAAGCAGCTCCAGTGAGTCCTCTCATTTGGTTTTCCAAGAAGATCAATCGAGTTGTCGCCAGCACACTGGCGTCCGAGACATATGCTTTGTCTGGTGCGCTTGATTTATTAAGCTGGACCAGATTGCATTGGGCCTGGATTTTAAATCCCTTTCTGAACTGGAAGGTGCCTGAGATCGCTCTGAAAGGTCTACCTCCAGCCTTTGCAGTAGTTGATTGCAAAAGTTTGTTTGACTTGCTCCAGAAAACCTCAATTCCACAATGTACTGAACACCGTACGGCCCTTGAGGCGTTGGTAATCCGAGATCGGTTGAAAGAGGGAGTTTTAATTAAATGGGTTCACAGTGCCGCCCAGATGGCCGACAGCTTGACCAAAGACATGGACACCACAGTTTTGCGCTCCTTTCTGGCCAGAGGTAAGTGCATACTACATGACATCGATGAAATCTTGAAGCGAAGAGCTGACAAGAAAGTTAGATCCCAATGGTATCAACAGTCCAGTGAATATGAGTCAGGCTTGCATGCTTTTGCGATGTTCCTGGGTATTTTGTAAGACTCCAGATCCGAAGTGGTTGGAATTTTTGACTGATGCCCGCCTGCTGCACCACCTGACGGGTCAAGCCTCAATGATCCAAGTTTGGTCGCTTGTGCAATTTTTGTTGGAACTTTTCGACAGTCTCATTTTCGACAAGATTACAGTTATTGATTTTTCAGATTACAGAATTTTTAGGAGTGTGGATTTGCAGCCACTTGTGCATGATCTGAATGTAAATTGGAGGTCGAATACGTGGTCGTATTGACATATTTCCCTGGGGCTTTACCACATTCAGCTTTCTGCCGTTGAAGGTGGCGGCTCAACTCCTGTTGAGGGCTTAGGGTAGGGCCCCTTAGCCTTGTACGACCGGGTTCGTACGTTCCGGCGCTGCCATAGCAAAAGGTGCTTCGCTCCGGTGGGCGTGCTTGGTGGAATTTGGAAAGGACCAGGGGCCCCTTGAAGAGTTTGAATAGGAGAAGGGGCCCGCTTCCAGTGTTTGGTTTGGCACCAACAATATATATATATATACATACATACATGTGTGTGTGGGTGTGTGTTTGTATACACATACATATGTGTATATATATATATGAGAGGGAGTGTGTGTATATATATATATGTATATTAGTACATATCGATGATCTATCGATCTATCTCCATCTCTATTTGCATTTCTTCTTTTACTTTGAGATGCCATATGTGTTCAGATGTGTGTGTGTGTGCATGTAGTTTTATTTAGGAACATGTATGGAAGAACAAGATTGCAATATATTTTTGATTGTTTGTTTGGATTGTTCGTGGTGGGAAGTACAAGCTGTTTGATGCTGTTTGATTGTGATCACATTTGCTAAAATTTCATCATAGAATGGTTGAACATGTGTATGTTTATTGACATGTTCGGTTCCAAGACAAAAAAATCCAAGAAGTGAAAGTTGAGAATCAATATGTTTCCAAAAGGAACGTTTCTGAGAGTATCCTTCTGTTGGCCCCAGAGATTTTGGAATTGGAAACCAAACAGCCAGAGGTTGCCCTATGAAGTTCATGTTTTCGGGCCAGGGAAACTCAGTTACTTTCAGAAACACATGACATGTGTTGTTGGACCTGTTTTTTGTTCAGAACCAACCATGATTCTAAGGCCTCTACGGCATTTTTCGTGTGCATAGTTGTAGCTTCTCATCAGGATACGTGAGGATCTTCAAGGTCTTGAACATCTCACAGGAGCCAATGGGGGTCGGCAGGTCTTGAATGAAGGTTGCACTCCCGTTCAAGGCTATTCCGCACTAAAGAGAGATTGGTGATGATTAGTGTGTCTTGTTTTTTTGGTAATTAAATCTTGATTTGAGTCTCACAGGTCAATTCTTATTCAAGGATGTTCTATATTGGGACGATCTACCCTGCATTTGTGTGGGCTATTTGACCTGTGACTAATTCACAAGGCCAGTCATGGGAAGACTATATATATATATACAAAACATAATCATATATATATACTGTATATATATACTGTATATATATATATACTGTATATATATATATATATATATATACACTTCCTTTAGGGTCTTCAATTGGCAAAATCTAGATGAACACATTATATTTAAACATCAAAGACTACGTTAAAACATCAAGCAATCCCAGAGTAATCATGGAATATGATCAAAATCAAATTACTGTAATAAATTTCAAAAAACATGAGTCCAAAATGAATTTGAACATACCTTGGGATCATACTCCAAGTCCCTGCAACACTTCAAATTCATTGGGAACAGTATGAGGTATGCTACTGTGGGTCTGGTGGAATTGTCTTTGAACTTACCGGAAAAGCCCTTGATTAGATCCAGCACTCCAGACACAAGGGCAATAGGTTGGAACAACATCCCGATACAATGTGGGGCCCCCAAACGATAGTTAAGTTGGTGCAAACTGCTCCAATAACAACCAAAAACTATGGTTCATGATTCTTATATAACTTTAACTGTAGTACTATAGTACTATAGTATCATATAGTATCCTTGGTGGTTATAACATAACCCAAGAAAACATCCCTCAAGGGCCGCACCTTGTAGTGAATCACAGCTCGCTTTAAGGAGTCCAAAAGTTGGGCCGCAGACCCCGAGAATTGGCTCTGCGATGCACCGGGAAGCTGGCTGTGTCAGGTTTGGAGAATCCTTGGTGAATGGTGCGAGGTGAGATTGATGGGTATAATTGGTATAATTTATCCTGGTTGGTGCTTTGGAACATGAAGTTTATTTTTCCATATTTATAGGGAATAATCATCCCAACTGACTGACCAATATTTTTCAGAGGGGTGGCTCAACCACCAACCAGTTTATCGTTATAACCATTTAATACCATTTATATATAAGCCCCAAGAGTTGGGATATTATAATACACGACATTCACTGAATTTAAAGGTCAATCTGCACCAGGTGCTTCACCAACAGTATGGAATAGTATGGACCTAAATCTCCGGGATCTACCTAGGAGCAAGAAGTCAGTTGCTAGTGGCAGATGGAGATTTATCCAAGAAAACCCGAATGTCCCCCGTGTCCCCCGTGTTAGTTTTGGCGTTGCCCATAGTTCCAAGCGTTGCCAGGGACAATACCCGCCTGCGTTGGCAAAGATTCTGCAAGAACAGCACCTCGATGGACCGTCTGCAGGTAGGGTCTCATAGAATGGGGGATCCCCAGCACATCCCAGAACCATGGGTTTCAATCATAAAACGTTGATGTTGGGATAATTTGGGATAATAACATCAATAATATGGGTTTTAATTAATTTGGGATGATTTGGTACGCCCATTTTAGGAAACCGGCATATTTGAAACTAAATTCCGATAGTTCCCTCGTATGCTTCCCTTCAAGCAATCCAGTGAAGATCATATGTGGTTGTCCGTATCCATGTTTTTCTTCGTTTATATCATGTCATCTCGAGAGCACCCCTTGTTCCCCACCTGCCAGGTGAGGGTCTATAGACTATATAGATTTTATCAGAGTTGCTTTCTCCTCATGCTTGTCCTTCTCGGGCACTGCCGGAGCTGAACCGCGTGCGCCAGATCTCAAATGCCAGAATAGAATGTCAGATAGAATGGCGGAATAGATGCCAGATAGAATATCAGAATAGATGCCAGATACAATGCCCAAAAGAATGTCAGAGTATATGCCAGAAAGAATGTCACATAGAATATCGCAATATATACCCACTATATATATATACATATATATATATATTACCCTCTGGTAAACTAACGTAGCTATAGAAAATCACCATGTTAAATGGGACAACTCACTATAAATTGCCATTTTCAATAGCTACGTTAAATTACCAGAGTGTATATTATTATATACTTCTAGAATCTTCTATAGATGGTATTTCAGGATCTATGTCAGTTTTTTTTTTGTCAGGGCGGGGATCATTCGATTTGTTTCCCAAGGAATCCCTTCAAGCAACTGGAAGATTTCAATGTGCATCGCGACTCGAATCTCGGAGGCATTGCCAGGTTGAAGCAGGGGATAGCCTCTGGTAATGACTAACATAGCTATGGAAAATCACTATTTTTTATGGGAAATTCCACTATGTCTATGGCCATTTTCAATAGCTATGTTAAATTACTAGGGGATAATCAATATCTTGGATAGTGTGATTGCATAACTTGGATAATCAATATTAATAGTATTTAATAGTTATGATTATCCCAATAATCAATAATCCAGTTTCACTATTGGTTCATGTGTGATTGCAGGGGATACATCCTCTAGTTCCATCTAGTTCCTACAATCAGTGACAAAGTTTGAGATTGATGGTTGACATTCCTGGAGTTTGAGATTGTCAAGGTCTTTGATATCTATGATGGCATCAGTTTTTCTTTGCTTTGAGGGATGGATGTCGCAGCCAGGAAGGCAGAAGAGTATCACGCAGCTTACATGAAGGCGAGCGGGTCACTCCCTGGGAAGATTTGGGAAGCCCCCGGTGACCCATGGAAATCATTGATACCAGGGTTAGATTGGCAGGTGATTCAAAAGCGACAAGCTTTTGGGGCACTTAAGCAAAATTATGTCAATTCGATATATGTTATTTTTTATGATGTTTCCACCCATGTCATAAGATTGCATGAATAGATGCGATGCTTTCAATATTTTTTCATTGTGAGCAGGGTTGCCCAGGTCAGCAAAGAGCGACGCGGCACTTAGGCGAAGAAAAAGATGCTCCGCAACAGTGACATGCGGCGCTGGGATGTGTAGGGAATCGGAAGGCGGTTCTTAACCACGGCCTATTTGTAGGTGGGTATTTCCATTTCCATATGGGTTGTTATGCAGTAATTACTGAGTTATATTGTAAATGTGTGGGGTATTCCATCCGATAGATAAGATATGCATCCATTTACTACTTGGAATGCGCATCCTGCGATCAAAATCACTTGAAACCCCAAAAATGGATGAATATGAGGGAACTCTTCATGTCACTAACCAGCCAAGATGGGTAGTTAGTTTAACCAACAAACAGCACACCGGGTTGTGAACAGATAGAATATGTCAGATAGAATATGTTTTGATTTCACCAGCACATTGATTGGCCGCTTAAAAAAAAAACACAAAAGCTTATGGTTTGTTTTTAGAATTTCCATCATTACGATTGGACCTGCTTACATCGTTTTTCTTGATTTTAGCTCCGCTCCGATATTTTTTGGGCCCAGAGTGAAGGGACTTTCCAGTAATTGACCATACATGCACTAGTCATCTTTAACCCTTCAAAAACAGTATCAGTAACTATCATTCAAGATCCTTAACTATCACATCATTAACCGCAATGTCGTTTGGGCCATTAACTATCATTAGCCATTTCCTGTTTAAGTAAAGCCATGAGGTTATCATTTGGGGCCATCAACTACAGTGCCATAAATAGATTGTGAGTTGTTTAGTCATTCTCATTCATATTTCTGTTTAAACAAATCATTCACAATATTCATAATTGTAATTATCCATATTCTACTCAGTATTAGTATTTAGTATTATATACATATCATATCATATGTCACATATCGCTAATAGTAGTTATTAAGTTATACATCATATTTAAACTACTACTGCATAACTATGATGGAACCTATGATATGTTTCCAACACTATTAGTGTAAATAAAAAAACACAATTACCCCATAAGTATTCATACGCATGTGGGTAAAACAATTTCATAAACCATCCCGCAAATCACCATTTTTTATAGGTGGTATAAACAATTCCCAAATAGGTGGTTTATTATTGTCTTACCCACATTATACCCATGTCATGATTATCAATATAGCAATGATATGCAATGATTATCCCATTATATATATATACCCATTCATATCAATCCCATTCATATCCCATTACTAAATAGGAATATCCATTACTATAGGAATATCCATATAGTAATGCCAAGGTCAACCTTTGATAAGTAATTCATAAGCAATATGTGGTAATGGTTGGCTTTACTTATCCTATAGTATATACAGGAATATCCATTACTATATGGATAAGGAAAGCCAGCCCCAAGGTCAACGGCATGATGGGCATCGTGGCTCCCTGCATCGTGGGCTTTTCAATGTTGCTCGAAAAACCAGGTTTGTCCTCCTGTTTGTCGTTGTTCACTGGGCCAAAAACATCATGTTCCTATGGTTTAATAAGGATCATCGTGGGATTATAATGGGATATGCATAGGGATACAAGGGGACAATCATTTATAAAATGGGGATATGATGGGGAAACAACCATCAATATCACGTGGTAAACCCCCAAAAAAAAACACCCCTTCACCAACCAGGGGAGTTTCCAATCATCCCCAAATGGAAAAGCGATGTTCACGTTGGTTACCCTCTGGTAAATACACAAAAAAAATATGGAAAATCACGATTTTTAAAGGGTAAAATCCTCTATGTCTATGGCCATTTTCAATAGCTGTGTTAGTTTACAAGAGGGTAACCATGGTGAATTGTAATTCGCCCAGATTATAAAAATGGCTTAGGAAGATGAATTCCTCGGAGATCTGTGTATATTGATGAACGTTGCATTTTTGCTGGTTACTGCATGCGATCGGTTTTGAGTGTATACTTTCCGACAGTAGGGCCTCCGACCCCCCTTGGTCCCTTGGTGTTGGCTGCTTGACCATGGGGCCCATCCAAGATCAGATGACATGGGTGGTTAAATTTGATACTTGGCCATGAGTGGTATGTTCAGCCATATCTAGCACTCCAAGTTTCGGGTGGTTTCTTGACCAATACATGTTCCAGTTCTTACCAAGCCACTTGCTTCTGCAGATTGAAGAGATTGATGCATGCCTTTCATTGCCTTACTTATAATCAAAAGTCGCGCCTTGTCAAATGAAGGAAAAAATATGAGACATTGTACAAGGTGGCACCCCCCTAGCTAGTTATATATAAGTTGGTTGATAATCCCCATTAGCTATATATAGATTCTAGATATAACCCCCATAAACCCTATAGGAAGACCCCACTGCCGCTGACGATGAAGACTGAGGTTTTCGACTCATGCCCTGCTTGGGGGCGAGATGACGGTGGAGATCGTGTTCCCTTCATTGATTGCTCCTTGTATTTTAGGAGCTGAAGTACCACGAGATCATGGATCATATTTTTTCAGGCATTATTTTCGGACTGAAATGCAATACGATGCGGACATTGCATACTTGTAACTTGTATTTGATATATATAATATATATATATAATTTTATATAATTGAATTGCTAGCGGTGGAGAGGGGAGCGAGGGAGAGGTAGAGGGAGAGAGATTGAGATTGAAACTGCATCCCATGTATTTGTTTCTTGTCTCACTTCAAGGTCATCTCGGCTGCAATGCTGGGAGACATGTTGAATCCTGGGGCATTTCAACACGGATGCGTCAAGTTGCTTAAAAGCTGTTGCAGGTTTTGCGTGTTCTGCAGATTATGATGAGCAACTCGTTGTTGGTCTGAAGCTGCGGATAGATGGGTGTGTTGGATCACATGGTTTGGATGAGTCTTGCTGAGGACAGTCCGTCAGTTTTTTGAACGTGTTTTTTTTAAATAACATATAATATATGATATATGTATTTGTCATTATGTATATATATATAAATAACACAAACACACACACATATATATATATATAAGGGTTTTGCATCCCTTCGCCCTTCGAGAAACAACTAGTAATGTTGTCGACTGATTAGTGGGCGGGGGCCCCCCCCCCCCCTCAAACAATTTTAGTCTACTCAATAACTGACCATTTTTTTGCGCCCCCCCACCCTCAACATTTTTTTTGAATTGATTTCAATTTACTTTTAATTGAAATCAATTTACTTTCAATTGATTTCAATTTACTTTTAATTGATTTCAATTTACTTTCAATTGATTTCAGTTTACTTTCAATTGATTTTCAATTTACTTTTAATTGAATTCAATTTACGTTCAATTGACTTTCAATTGATTTCAATTTACTTTCAAGGGTTTTGTTTTTTTTTTCGACCCCAAAAGTTGCTTGGCACAATAGAGTACCATCCAAACATTCATATTATTGAGTAACTGAGCCACTCATGAGGTACCCCCTTGAAAAATTGTCTGGATGCTGTTTTTTAATAAGGGTTTAATAAGGCATCTAATTATTTGGAAAACCTTGCATTTTAAAGATTTAACACAAATATGGTTTTCTAAAGTAAATGGACCAGCTTTACTCAAAGAAAGGTGGAGAAGGTTTTTGTTTTTTTTTCAACCCCAAAAGTTGCTTGGCACAATAGAGTACCATCCAAACATTTATATTATTGAGTAACTGAGCCACTCATGAGGTACCCCCTTGAAAAATTGTTTGGATGCTGTTTTTTAATAAGGGTTTAATAAGGCATCTAATTATTTGGAAAGCCTTGCATTTTAAAGATTTAACACAAATATGGCTTTCTAAAGTAAATGGACCAGCTTTACTCAAAGAAAGGTGGAGAAAGGTTTTTGATTTTTTTTTCAACCCCAAAAGTTGCTTGGCACAATAGAGTACCATCCAAACATTCATATTATTGAGTAACTGAGCCACTCATGGGGTACCACCTTGAAAAATTGTTTGGATGCTGTTTTTTAATAAGGGTTTAATAAGGCATCTAATTATTTGGAAAACCTTGCATTTTAAAGATTTTACACAAATATGGCTTTCTAAAGTAAATGGACCAGCTTTACTCAAAGAAAGGTGGAGAAAGGTTTTTGATTTTTTTCAATCCCAAAAGTTGCTTGGCACAATAGAGTACCATCCAAACATTCATATTATTGAGTAACTGAGCCACTCATGAGGTACCCCCTTGAAAAATTGTCTGGATGCTGTTTTTTAATAAGGGTTTAATAAGGCATCTAATTATTTGGAAAACCTTGCATTTTAAAGCTTTAACACAAATATGGCTTTCTAAAGTAAATGGACCAGCTTTACTCAAAGAAAGGTGGAGAAAGGTTTTGTTTTTTTTTCACTCCCAAAAGTTGGTGCTCACAATAGAGTACCATCCAAACAATTATATTATTGAGTAACTGAGCCACTCATGAGGTACCCCTTTGAAAAATTGTCTGGATGCTGTTTTTAAATAAGGGTTTAATAAGGCATCTAATTATTTGGAAAACCTTGCATTTTAAAGATTTAACACAAATATGGCTTTCTAAAGTAAATGGGCCAGCTTTACTCAAAGAAAGGTGGAGAAAGGGTTTTTGTTTTTTTTTCAATCCCAAAAGTTGCTTGGCACAATAGAGTACCATCCAAACATTCATATTATTGAGTAACTGAGCCACTCATGAGGTACCCCCTTGAAAAATTGTCTGGATGCTGTTTTTTAATAAGGGTTTAATAAGGCATCTAATTATTTGGAAAACCTTGCATTTTAAAGATTTTACACAAATATGGCTTTGTAAAGTAAATGGACCAGCTTTACTCAAAGAAAGGTGGAGAAGGTTTTTGATTTTTTTCAACCCCAAAAGTTGCTTGGCACAATAGAGTACCATCCAAACATTCATATTATTGAGTAACTGAGCCACTCATGAGGTACCCCCTTGAAAAATTGTCTGGATGCTGTTTTTTAATAAGGGTTTAATAAGGCATCTAATTATTTGGAAAACCTTGCATTTTAAAGATTTAACACAAATATGGCTTTCTAAAGTAAATGGACCAGCTTTACTCAAAGAAAGGTGGAGAAGGTTTTTGATTTTTTTCAACCCCAAAAGTTGCTTGGCACAATAGAGTACCATCCAAACATTCATATTATTGAGTAACTGAGCCACTCATGAGGTACCCCCTTGAAAAATTGTCTGGATGCTGTTTTTTAATAAGGGTTTAATAAGGCATCTAATTATTTGGAAAACCTTGCATTTTAAAGATTTAACACAAATATGGCTTTCTAAAGTAAATGGACCAGCTTTACTCAAAGAAAGGTGGAGAAGGTTTTTGATTTTTTTTCAATCCCAAAAGTTGCTTGGCACAATAGAGTACCATCCAAACATTCATATTATTGAGTAACTGAGCCACTCATGAGGCACCCCCTTGAAAAATTGTCTGGATGCTGTTTTTTAATAAGGGTTTAATAAGGCATCTAATTATTTGGAAAACCTTGCATTTGAAAGCTTTAATCTAAAAAAATGAAAAACAGAAAAACATTTTTAAGTAACCAATTTAAAAATAAAATTCAAAAAATAATTAATTAATTAGGAACAATTAAAAAAAAAAAATCTGGAAAACATTTGCCACAATAGAGGCCCCCCCCCACCAAACAGCAGGTTACTGAATAAGGAGGAAAAAGTTTGCCACAATAGAGTACCATGCTACTAATCAGGTGCCAACATTAATTAAGCTGTTTCCACCTGTATTTGTTTTACTTTGCATTCCTTTCTTTGCTCCTTCCTGACAACTCCTGATGGCAAACACCTGTGTCATACGCAACTTCATCAGACACGATTCCTGTAAGGGTCATGCGTGAGAGCGGCTGTGGGTGGTTTGTAGTGATTTCGGGTGAGCTGCTGTGCTCTTTCGAGGTACCCCAGATTGTGGTAATTTCCTACATGTCAGTTGCCGGTTTGTCCCATCAGCTGGTAATAGTGGTGCCCCAGAGTGCTGGCAAAGTTGGTTTATAATATGTAATAATTAGGTCAACTATGTTTTATTGTATTTTTTTGCGTTTTATGTATATGTATATATGTAATATGTATCTATTTATATCAATATATTTATATATTATATACCGATATATGTACAAGAAATAAACACACACACACATACATGTATATATATACACACATAAACTGGTTTTTATAAACCATCAAAGATAACACAACCTTGCAACAACCACTTGCCCCCTAAATGTCTCCTGGTGAGGCCTGCTCCCCACGTCCTTCTCGGCGATCGCCGAGCTGACCACCTCGTTCTTCCGCTGAGATGGGGTTTCAACCAACCATTTTATGGGGATTTAATGTGATTTATGGGGATTTATGCGGATTTAATGTGATTTATGGGGATTTAATCTGATTTATGGGGATTTATGCGGATTTAATGTGATTTATGGGGATTTAATGTGATTTATGCGGATTTAATGTGATTTATGGGGATTTAATGTGATTTATGGGGATTTAATGTTTAATGTGATTTATGGGGATTTAATAGGGATTTAATGTGATTCATTTGATTTAATAGCATTTCATGGGATTCTCATGGGATTTTGATTGGATTTTGACATTTTAACCACCAATTTTATCAGGATTCCATGGGAATTTCATGGGATTCATGGGATTTCAATCATCCCGTGGTTCGGAGGGAAGGATCTATAGGATTTTACAGCTCTGTGAACATTCTTTACTAAGAGGGGAGCCAAGGGGCCAGAGTTTCCCAACTGATAGATCCACAGGATGAGACAGGCAGAGAGGCAGATCTCATATGTCGCGGACGTGTAATTCTTGTTCAGAAGTGACGTTTTCACATATGCTATATATTGAACCATAGAACATGTGATATGCAATGATGATCTCTGGGACGAGCATATGTTTCAGGGGTGTTGAGACCATCCAGTTTTTCTTTGCAATATTTATGTGGGGTTGCTTCGAAGAATATATTCTCTAGGTGTTTGATTTTTGTTGGACAAGTCGTGTTTAAGATTGGGCGTCAAAACATGACCTGAAATGGTGGTTAGATGATGGTGAGCCCCGAAGAAAGTGATAGTCATAGAGGAAAGGCAAAGAAGTGCGTTCTGAAGTGTCATGTTTAGACGAATTGTTCTTTAAAGAAACCGTTCAGTCTTTAGGCACGAGGTGTGTAATTAATTAAGATATTTGGAAGTATTTGGAAGAGCAGTCAGATACGCTCTTGATGTGTGATTAAACCGTTCAATGCATTGATATACGTTTAAACAAATCTGACATTACGGCCACTGGACTTTGGGTCAGCAGCTATTGATTGAATTCCGGAAATGGTGAACTGAACACCATGGTAGCTTCGGAAAATACAGACGTGACGTGTTTTGTTCTGTACACATGCTGCGCGGAAAACACAACTTCAGACTGTATCAGAATTCTATAACCTGATCACATGTTGCATCATGTTCTAATGGACTCTGGTTTGATTATGTTTGTTTAGGTTGAACAGGATGTTTTAGGCCGCTATCGCACCCGAACAGCGAGGTGCTCGAGACTGCAGATGTTCCTCCAGCAGCAAGATCAGCTCATTGACGCTGGGAATGTCATGAAGAAAATTGGGAAACCCTTTTGGAAACCCTTTTGGAAACCCTTTGGGAAACCCTCGGAAAATGATATGCAAATGGTGGCTTGCACGTACAATGTGGCCTACCCCCTTTGTTGATGTTTGTTGATTTAGATTGATGAAATCACCATCTAGCTGAATCTAGCTATGCATATATTCGTACGCACCATTAAACACCTCAAACCTAGCCTGGTGTTCAACCCACTTACCCATCCAGGGGGCCCCACTGGGTCCCACAGTGTGTTCATGTAGTGACAAACATGCCATGAACCGTGGCAGATTCTGCTTGCACATGAACAAAAAAATGTGCAAGTCGAGAACATGGAACACTTGTTGGGAAAAATCATTAAAATACATCAACAAAAACCATTGAGAAGCATGGTGATCTTGAAACATCAAACATCAAAATACATGAAAATGATACCCAGGAAGCCCAGCCGGAGCCGACTGTGGGGGCTGGCGAGGTCATCTTGAAGGAGGCGTGGGGGAAGCACGGTGATAGAATGGCCATGGTGAAGTTAAACGTGAGATTTGGTGGGATAGTTCTGGGGATTTCTTGGGACATACATTATATATATAATATATTTATATGCTTTATATGCAATATAATATATATATATATATACACACCTTCAAATTGGATGATAGCCAAGAATCTTGGGGATGGTCATACCACAAATGCCACCATATAATTACCTCCATATACCACCATTAATAGTGAAGTAGAATGGCTGGGAACTTGAGAGATGATCCCCATTATATCATGTTGGATAACCATGACATATCATGTTTTGACCACGGCACATATGATTTGATCCAACTTTTGACCATGGCACAGAATATGGGCAAGTTCACCGCTGTAGAAGTTTTTTTTTTTAGCCGCCATGATGATCAACATTCGGGTTGTTTTTTGCCGATTAGCCGTATTGAGAGATCGTCATCAATCCATGTCATGGGAATTTACCCTCTGATAAGTAAACATAGACCCTGAAAATCACCAATTTTTAATGGCAACTAATCTTCCAACCCCTATCTGCCAGGGTCTATGTTAATTTACTGGAGGGTAGTAACCAATGATAAAGATTCCCAAGAATGAGATGGATGGCTATAACCCATGTAGCATTGGTTGACCTAATTGGCACATCTGAAACCATTGCGGAGAAAACAACGACATCACTAACATAATAATAAGAATAACAACGCTGCAAACGCAAGATGACTTTGGGCCAAATTGGGACCTGTGATGAGTTTTTCTGAATTACATGATGATACCCTCTGGTAAATTAACATAGCTATTGAACATGGCCCAGTCGAAATAGTGAGTTGTCTCATTTTTTTAATGATTTTAATGGTGGATCTTTCCAGTCGCTACGTTAGTCATTACCAGAGGGTACATCCCATTGTCATCCTCAATGGATTGGTTTAGGGGAAATTTTACAGGAAAACCCCATATTTAATGGTAAAAACCATGGTTTCCTGTAAATTTTCCCTTAAACCAATCCATTGATATCCATAGTCACCAAAGATCTGGTGGTCAATGGGTCGCCCTGGGCCTCAGGCCATCTTCGAACGAAGCTCCGTTAGGGCCGTTACCCAGGCGAATCGGTGGTGATGTCGAAGTACCACGACTGGAAATTGGATGTTTCATGACATTCATATGGGATCTTGTTTTATTGGATCTTCATGAAATATGAATGGATATTCATGGGCTAGTTTTCTGGGATTTAATAGTGATTGAATGGGATTTAATGGGATATGAATGCTCAAACATAGTGATGCTCATGGGATTTAATGAATATGTTATCCAACTTCTATATTGGGTAGGTTACTATCAATGTTTTACGGACGATGAATGGATGTTTCAAATTGATGGAGTGATATAACAGATGTATATGGGGAATAAAAATATAAACCATCAAGACCACCAAATAGTCTGGATATCATGGAGATACCATGAACATGATGATCGAATTACCCTCCTTTGTGTCCGCGCTAAACATGGCTTGGCTGGTTCTTGAAATGGGATTTTATCTATACATGATTGCATGATTATAACTTGATGATTGTCCGTTGCCATGTTATTGTATTACCAAAGGATCAACTGGTAAACTATCGTAACTATGGAAAATCACCATTTTTAATGGGTAAACTCACTATAAATGGCATTTTTTAATAGCTATGTTAGTTTACCAGAGGGTATGCACTATGCCATTTTTTGCGGGATGATGATCCCCGATGACCTTCTTTTTTTCCAAGCAAGGGTTGAAGTTTCAACAACCAGATGACCTTACTTGTTGGAAAAAAATATCCAATTCAAGGGTTTTCTTCACAAGTAATATTGGAAACAATCAATCTTCATAACCTTGTTGGAAATCAATTTTCACTACAAGGGTTTCATAAACATTTCCATGTCAGAGTACTTGTAGTGAAGATTACACGGAGAAATCTATGAATTGAATGTCAGGAATTTCCAATCTTTATGCTTCCCGCTTCTGCAGTTTTGTATGGACGTTGAGCGTATCAATCGTTGTGTACACCTGCTAATCCACACAGGGCCAAGATTTTGATGTTGTTGAGCAATGACAATCGTTAAGCATGTAACACCCAAGCCTGGATAGATTTATATCCCAATGCCAATATCCTTTCGCAATTTTGAGATTCCAGAATGTTCCAAAGGTTTTCACCATTTAGTTTTCCCTTTGATCGCAAAAAAGAAGATCCATGTTGTGCATGCTTGAACCTCAAAATAGATGTTCCATTGGGGTCATTTCGCTTCGCTTCGTCGTTTGCACACGATTCCAAATACCAGCGGTGCCCCATAGCTAGCTACTTGGTCTACAACTAAACTATTGTGGGCATTAGAACGTATTAGAACCATATTTAGATGAGTAATTAACAAAATCATTAACAAAACAACCAACATAACATTTGGAGGACACCACCTTGTAGCAATGTTGACCTAAAACACCTGGAAAAAAACATGGAAACGCCGATGCGAGGCGCGTGGCTCCTTTAGCCTGGGCCCAGTGAACCTCACTCTGAACGCGGGAGATTTGTGCATCGTCTGTGGTCACGTGGCGGCAAGGGCAGCATTTTCGATGGCAACAAAAGCAAAGTCTTGATCCAGTCTTAATCCATCAAAATCCAATCTTAACCCATCAAAATCCAGTCTTAGATCCAATTCTAACCCATCAAAATCTATCCAAAATCCCCAATTTTTATGTCCTGCCTCCAGGTCCGGTGGGCTCTGGCAAATCCACCCTGGTCCTCGGCCTCCTGGGCGAGCTGACCGCGTTGAGCGGCCACGTCAGCTGTGGCGGTCGGAAGGCGCTGAGCGGCCAAGAGACGCCCGGCGGTGCTATGGGTCCTGGGTGGTTTCAGATGAGCCATTAAAAATACCCTGGTTAATTGATTGCTATAGGGGCTTATACTACCTGGTTTACTGGGGATTATGATAACCCATAGAATTGGGAAACCTATCAACCAACTAGTATAATGAGATGGGATAGGGGTATTTTTAATGGCTCAGATGATTTCAGTGGGACTTTGAAGGCCAAACTCTGGATTGGGAAACAATCTCCTTCCATACACTGTGGTTAAGGCCAAACGTTGGGTGAAAAAAAAAAATCCTTCCATGGAATATACAGTGTGGTTTGGTAGAACTGAGATGGTTTGAGTTTATGCTCTTACGTAGGGCCTCCAGGAAAACCACAAGCATGCAAAAGACTGTGGAGAAGTTGCTAGATTTGGGCTTGAGCAGATTGCACATCCGAATTTTGTATTATGCTTTATTTATCTACACACATATATATATATGTATGTATGTATGTAATGTATGTATGTATGTATGTATGTATGTAATGTAATGTAATGTAATGTAATGTAATGTAATGTAATGTAATGTAATGTAATGTAATGTAATGTAATGTAATGTATGTATGTATGTATGAAACTATCAGCTCAATTTTATTACGTTGCAAGCTGAAAACACCCAAGGCCCTGGATCTTGTCCTCCTCAGTGAGGGACAACATTTGCTGCTTTCGTCAGGCTGGGCGTTTCTTCGCTTGTCTCAGTTGTCTCCGGAAAGACTTGAACCGAACGGTTGATGCTGGGGCTGAAGCCGTCCACTTTAAACTGGGAATCTAGGGGTTCTCCCAACTTGCCCAGTACCATCATGATTATAATATATATATACTGTATATATATTATAACATGGAACATAAATTACATAACCCAAAAAAGAGAAGGCAATCAGTACGCCCCAGAAAGGTTTTTTGTTCCTCTGCCGGGAGGACGAGCACTATTCTGCAGCCCTGGAAGCAGCACAACTCCCAGTGGACTTGACGTCCCTCCCTGCTGGAGACGAGACAGAGATTGGTGCGATGCTTGGGCAGAAAATTCAGGAAGTGCATGGAAGTGCGAGGGTGAGGCAAGCAGCATATGGGGGTTACCATAAATGGGGATAGCCAAAAAATATGTTACAATGGAAATCATATCAAAATGGATGATTTGGGGTTACCCCCCAGGAAACCCCCGCATGCAAAAACCGACGTAAAAACGAGTTTCAATGCATCATGATTGGCTTATCCTGCTTGGAATCAGACAGCAAAGCTTCTCAATTCTCAAAGCTTGCATGCCACGGAGACTTTGTTCTACATCTCCTGAATATTCTTGAGAGCAAAGGCAGTGGCTGGCTAGGGTAGATTTCATCACACATTTTCCGCACATCACATATACCGCCTATACTAGTGAAGTTGTTTATGGTTGTTTTGCATATCAAAAATGAGTTCCTGGTCATGTTGCTTAACGTTCGGGCTCATCCATGTTCTGAAAACCGCAGGAAGGGCATCAACATCTCCGGTGGACAGAAGGCAAGTCCTAGCATCTCCCAGCCGCAGACCTCATCGCCAGATGGGAAGGATCTATTGGAATGTGTAGGATCATTAGGATCTATCCGTTTTGGGGTTTGGTATTGAGGCCATTTAATATTGTACAAAACAAAATGGGCTATGGAAATTCTCACTTCAGAATTGGTTTATCGATTAATCATGAATTGAAATCACCATATATGATTGATGGCTAAGCGGCCGTGTTCACCACAAAATTCCGGATGACACCCCCACCTTTGATACACCGCCATTGGAGGCTCGCGTGGCGCTGGCGCGGAGTTTGATGACGCCAAGCGACGTGGTGCTGTTGGACGATGTGCTGAGTGCGGTGGATGTGCACGTGGCCACTGCGCTGGTGCAGGATGCACTGCTGGGCGCGTTGAAGGAGAGCACCCGAGTGACTTGGTGCAGATTTGAGTCCAGTTACCTGTAACATCCATAGGGAGGTGATTTCACCAAGAAAAATGGGATTTGGATCTCTTCATTTCGGGCTCTCATATGGGTGGTATTTCACATCATACTTGTCTAGATATATCCATGTGAGGATTGTTTAACTAGGCAGAAAACTGCTTAATAGATCTTAAAAGATCTTAAATCTTCATAGTATAATATTGGGGTGGCTGGGTTGCCAGCCACTGCTTCATCTTAAACATGCTCCGACTCAGGTAGTGGTGGCCAACACCTTCCTACCCTTGCTGCTGCCCCATGCCCAGCAGGTGCCAGAAGTGGCATGAAGTGGCCGGGTCACCTTGAGATAGGAAAGGGAAAGGTGGATTTCAAGGGAAGATCATGGAAGATCAGATCCATGTGCTGAGATAGAATAGGCATGACTAGCAGGCGGATATTTGAGATGGTCTCAACGCAAAATGTGCCGAACATGCCGTAGATATCCGTAAATGCATGTAAATACCAACGTTTCGTCAGGTCCGCTTTCCCGGGGGATCCTAGTCACTTAGTCAGCGCGATGAGGTGCTGGTGCTTGATGGCAATGGTGGGGTCCAGGCTTGTGGACCTCCCAGCCAAGTTCAAGCGGAATCTCCTTGGCTACAGGAGGCATCAGGGGGCACCTTGTGTCACTGAGATCAGGCGACAGCACGTTTTTGCTGCGATGGTTGTGGTAGTCTTGGATAATTCTTATACGAGGCGGTGCCTCAGTTTTAGTCCTTAATATACTGTATAACTGTATAACTGTATAACTATAATTTGTATAACTAGTTTTAGTTCTTAGATGGCTAATACACCAACAAACATAACTTGGGAGTTGATGATGTGTCTCAGCATCCCACCTAGGGCCTAGGTGGGGAATCAACTGCGCTGCACTTCGCATCTCTTTGCGAGGCTCTAAAGACCATGGGTTCCGTACCAGCCCCTTGGAGCCATGGTTTTCCAGCCGTCGCTGTTTGGTGGTTTCATGTTTTTTGATAGTTCCAACCTTGTGTGGGAGGAGGATGCGAAATGGCCAATGTTTTTGAACCAGAGTCTTGTTTTCCTTGCTAACCTTGTTCAAGCATGAGCTGATGGAAACTTCGCCGTTGAATCCACTGCCCCAAAAAAGTCCCCAGGGGAAGGCTCCCATGAGCCTGAGCCAGTGCAAGATGGTGCACCATTGCCATCGCTATACGTATATACTGTATATATATATATGTATATGCATATATATATATGTATGTATGTATGTATGATTGTATGTATGTATTAATTTATGCATATATTATATATATATATGTATTTACTGTATTTACATGTAATTTATATATATATATTTAATCATGGTGAATTATACTGGGTGAAAACACCATAATAAACCAAGAAATGTTTCACGTGCACGGGGTGCAACGCCTTGGTCTGAAATCTATGTTGAAGACACCATACTGCTTAGACCCATATATTTTTCCTTGTTGAATCTTTATGTTTGATGTTTGAATTTCACGGGATTTCCATAGGTTTATATACTGCTAACACGGTACATCCCCACTCTAACGCGGACAAAACACAAAGTCCAGCTGATTCACTGCGGCTGCGTCAGCATTTAGGTGAAAAGTCGGGAAGACATCACGGCTGCTCTCTCTGCCTTGGCGACTTCTGAAGGGCCAGAGATGCGACTGGTCAAAGTTTATACTTGGCGAGCGCAGATTTTGGTCAACGGTCAATGCTTTTCATTATCTTTCATTATTTTTCTTTATCTTTCATTCATTTTTATTGATGTCATTATTTTTTATTCATTTTATGTGTTCATTACCCATCATTATCTTTCATTCATTTTTATTCATCAATGTTGATATGGTAGTGCAACACAGTGTATTGTAGGGTACCCGTTTTTGACCCATACCCAGCATCACCCTGGACATACAATTCAGCACATCGAAGATAGAAATCACTGAATAGTGAACTATCAATATCATGAATATAACTAGAAGTAAAATAATATCAGTAAGCAACTTATCACATCGAACATGAACTGAATACTGAAGTGCGAAGTGTTCTACATGTATATGTGAACTTAGATTTTTAGACCCGTAAAAAAAAGGGGCAAATGGGCCAGAAGGAAAGGAACGTCAAAAGCGGTGGAGAAAAGTTGGACTCGTTGTTGATAAATGAGCCACAAGTTGTCGCACCCCTATTGAGCCTAGCTACAGCATAGGGTGGGAATCTCAATATGCTTCAACCTATTGAGCCTTCTGGTTGTGGCTACCTGCGACAAAGTTTCGGGGATGTGTCGGGATCATCAAACGCAGTCGTGCTGGAACACTTTCACAGATTAAGAAAAGAACATACAGTAGGGGTCTTTACTTGACCCGCCACGGGTGGCACGTTCCAATCGTTATCAACCATAGTAGTATTATGTAGTATGACATTTCCATGTTCAGTGCGAGAGCCCGTGAATATATTTCTAAAGATTCTAAAGTCTAGACTTGTCTATATCATAGTATATCATAGTGGTGTTAATAGTGGTGTTAATAGTGGTGTTAATAGTGGTGATTGAATATCCACTATGTCCAGCTTGCTGCAGTGATAAGCCAAATGAAGGGACCCCCACTTGCTTGAGGAAGGATGGAGCGCAGAGGGATGGCTCCCTGCTAATTGCCGAAGACCGCAATGTGGGAGCCGCTTGGCGCGAGGGGTCACGACGTCACAAACGACGTCACAAATGGTGGTGAATGTCAGGGCAACTCTGTGTACTGCAACTATCCACATTCCGGTTTATTTATCATCTTATTTCAAAGGATCATTTACCCATATAAAAATCCATATGTTTAGGAACAGATCAATCAATCCTTACCTGAAAGTCATAAGATTCAAATGCTTTCAAATGCTAGGTTCTGGGCTAAACATGGAGCTGCTTTCCCGAAATTGCAAACCATCCTATTTCTTGGCCCAATTTTGACCCATATCATAGTATTGAGCACTTAAAGTACCACCAAGAAACCCTGGATATGTGCCCCTTTTTGGGGGTTCCATTGTGAGGAAAGCGAACCGCTCGCATGGTTTGGGATGAGTTGTCCGCAAAATCCGTGGATGGTTTGTGAAGCTAGAGATCAAGAATAATCTTCCAGCTAGACATCGTCTATAGGAGTCTCTATAGAATCCATTCTTTATTTACATAGACCCTCCACGTACCAATCAAGATTGGTAAAAGTACTAAAATTATGGGTACCCTCTGGTAAACTAACATAACTATAGAAAATCACCATTTTCAATGGGAAAATCCACTATAAATGGTCATTTTCAATAGCTACGTTAGTCATTACCAGAGGGTAACATACCGATCCCCTGTTTCTATCGGGTAAATTCATTTCTGGTATTTTTTTGGGGATGGCTTTCCATTGGGTTTGCTGGAAGCTAGGGCTGTGGGCAAGGCATAGCCGGCATAGCCTCGAATTGGCAGAACAACACCAGTAATGAATGTTAACCAGTGGTTGTGGTCAATCAATGTTAGGCCATATTTTAGAGGGTCAATCAATCTTGGTATATATCTTTAAAAAAAAATCTTCATGAGTTTTGTTGTGTGTATGTGTGTTTGATCCGGTACTACGGATTACAAGACCCTCTTGCGGATTGCTCAATTGTTTCATGCGCTCCCAACATGGGATTGTCTCAAGGCTTGGAAGTTCAAAAGTTATGCACAATTTATACATATATATATATATATATATTGATTAAGAAACGGATAATGACACAGTTTTTGCTTTCAGCCCGACCAATTCCCCAATCTTCACAGCGTTGATATCGGCAGGTGTTGAGCTTCACAGCCTATGCCTCCTACTTCCAACACGCGAGTTCTCGAGGAAGCTTCGCCGTTGGCGCTGTGCTCTTTGGAATTGTGCCTTGGCAGATGTATATATAGCAATGATACATCCCTGTGATTTGTAAATATATGTCCAACATTGCCCATGTATTTCCATGTTAAATGAGGCCTTACACATGCTTACACCATCTTTTGTAGATATCTTCAATGGATAGCAATGATCTATCACGAGGCAAAGTTCCAATCCCAATATATAATGAATCATAATTGTTCCCCCTTAATTATGGGCTTTTATTATCGGGTTATCCTGGTTATATATCATCATTGTGTTTCTCTCTCACGCATCAATAGTTCAGCTGATAATTTGGTGTGGAGGAACCTCCACTTGGGTTCAGTTGGTAATTTTAGATAGCCATGGGCAATTACCAATTTCTAGATGTTTTGCCTGTCATGACCAAAAAAAAAAACATTGCCATGTTCTATGGCAAACGTTGATGTTGACAGAGGGTAAATGCACAGTTTCGTCTGTGACATTTGCAGGAACACCTATTTTTTTACGCCACTCCATTGATGGAAGGTGATGGAAGGGATTACCGGAGGGTTTTTGGAACTGCGCCCCACCGCGCCAGGTCTTTTGTTTGGCGTTGCTAGCCGAAGCAGTTCGGACCTTTACCGAGATTTGGGTCACCCTTTGGACCTCGACGGACGAACAGGACTGCGATGTCGTATCCTGTCGTGGAGACAGTTTGCTTTGGATGGTGAATCTTCCATAGCTGCCATAGCTATATTAGTTTACTGATGTTTGCTGGAGGGTACATGTTTTGGGGTATACAAAAATGATAAAACATGAGGTGAATTTCTGAAGTGATTACATATTTAAGTCCATGGGTTTGCGAGAGCTTCCCAATGTGATAGTGATATTATCCAAACAATAATTGGAAAAACGTCAAAGTCGGGATAGATCACAGTCACAGTCACAGGCTCACCTGACATGTGGGCAAGCAATCTGCCGTATCCATTGAGAAAGAGCATTTGCATCCAGAGGGAAACAACATGAAACAAAGCAGTGCATGCATGGAAGCATGCCATAAGACAAAGTGAGTTTGGTTCTTCCGAGATTCCGAATATGTTTTTGACAAAACATGGCGGCCTTATGCTAAAACTCGGTAGATGCAGGAAGTCATTTCACGGAGCGATCTAGTCTTCTGGCTCACGGGCTATGGATGCATCTTGGCATCTGCACTGGGTCCAGCTACAGGATGCCAGCCAATCATCCCCCGATTCCGGGGTCCTACTGCGGATGGGACCGCAAAGTGAGTAAATATTCCATATATATATATATATACACATATATACAGTAGACATTTACAGTATTTTTATGTATATAATTATACATTTTTTGTTTTTACATATATATATATTATGTATAAATATTTATTTATATATATACACGTATAAAAACATAATTACATACATAGATTCATATAGATCAGCCAGTAAAACCCTGTCATTGGGTTTCCAGGTGAGAAAAAAAGTGTTTTTTTTTCATGGGCCATTTGATGGAGACATGCCAGTTCGGGGGTTAAAATCCTGCAGAGGCTTGTCACAGTTTTGCCTTTGGAAAGGGTTCCAGATTCGGTTCTGGTATGGAAGACGTTCAGATCATACTGATTAATATATAGTTCCAAGTTGTTCGAACTTTTCAGCCTGGTGAATTACTATAATTAATCCAGATTCGCCATTTGTTGGGTCCATCAAGATCGTGTTTTAAAGTTGTTTTTGTTTTATGTAGTGTTTCAAGACTACCCGCATGTGTAGGTACAGAAATCGGGAGTATAATGATCACTTTAAATATCTTTAAATACAGTTGAATCCCTGTGCATTACTTTACATTTGGACTCAAACGATCACAGAAGTATCCACAACAATAGTTCTAATATGTTCTAATTCAATCCATGATTTCAAGAAAACATGACATATTCTCATCATATTCTCATCAATGATCAACTTCACTTGAGATATTGTAAATATTTAAATTCCTGTTTTCCTAAAATGGGGGACCCCCAATTTGTCACCAGTGGGGGGACCCCCAGTCGTCACCCGAGGCATCGTTCTGGCCGTGCTGGTCATCGGAGTCACCCGCGCAGTGGTCTTCAGTCGCATTGTGACGTGGCGAAAGGGGGATTGTGGGGATGATATCGCTGCCGTTTGTGGGGATAACCACAATATGATCATGATATTATTATATCTAGGACTTACATTAGTCATTATATCACTAATGGTATATCTACAATATAACTCTAATAACTAGGACTTATGGTATACCAGATATATCATTGCATTATATATCATTAGTTAGGATGGTGATTATATCACTATCGTTACTTGGGGTGGTGCCCCCAAAAGATAATCCAAGATAGCCAAGTTGGTACAAATAAAAAGTCTAATAACTAGGACTTATGGTATGTAGATATATCTATAGTCAATTGGTTCAATTATAGTTATAAGCCAACTTATAACTGGGAGGAACCGCATGAGCATTGTCAGAAAGCCCCTTTCTACACTTAAAGAAGAGTTGTGTCATATGACTGGGTCGCGTAAGCAAAACCCTTTGGTTCGTAAGGTGGCAGAAACCACTTTTGCAAAATACCATGCAGTGGCTCTGGCGTAAGCAGTTCCTAAGCGTTGTAAGTCCTACCTGTCAGCGTAAGCTCCACATAAGTCAAAACTCAAAACTGTGGTCGCCTAAGCAAGGTCCGCAAGGTCTAGCGTAAGCCATGTGATGCGACATAGCCTGGTAATCTCACTTTTTCGGAGAAGCCTACATTGTGATGGGTTTTATAAAGCCAACTTATTGTTGGCAGGCCTGTTTTGTAGCTGCGAAAGTTATCATGGAACCCTGAAACTGGGGGTTTGAAAGGTGATTTGTCGAACTTGGATATGGCCGATCTTCGATTTCATGTGTAGGAATGATGGTGGAATTCAAAACGACTTACGAAAGTTGAGGTTTCTACTACAGCGAGTTGCATTTAATCATTTACCAATTAGTTTTTACCAGTAGCAAACTGGGATTTGGTTGAAACATCCTGTAGCTTACGAGTTGAAACATCCATTCACCATAGTTCACGCACGTTTGTGTGGTTCCTGAGGTCACTGAACTCATCCTCATCCATCCTCACATATTTGGTTGATGGTTTCCTTAGGTTTCATTGGGACGGTGCAGGGTGATTTAAACCACCATCACATCCCCAAGTGTGTTTGTCATGATCAGTCATTATCTCCCTGTCATTCAAAGTTGCACCATGTTGCACCCACCATTGCTTGCAAACATCAATGTGCTTGCGAAAACTTAACCTTTTAATTTGGTGGTTTCTTTCCCATATGCTCAGAAAAGTGCTCCATGGACTCCATGGTGCTGGAAGATTTACCAACATTTACCCCATGAATGCCCCAGTTTTGTAGGTAAATATACGATACTATGGAGCATATGGCTATTCGGAATGTTGTCGTGCACAGCCTTCTCCGGGATGATCCAATGATCAACGGAGGTGACCAAGATTGGCTCCGGCACCTTCCAGTACATGCTGCAGAAAGCCACTGGTCTGTGAGTTAGCTATGGATACTGTGGATGGGTGCGAAATCCTGCACCAGTTGACGGTTTACCCCCCTTATTTTGGATGGGGTTCAACTTGTAATGATTGGCGTTTTACGTATGTTTTTCTTAGACAGATCATTATACATACACAAGAGTTGTAATGTGTTTGTTTCCCTTCGTAAGTGAACCACAATGTATTTATACAGTAAATATGTTTTTCCAGGCATGAGGTGAAACCAAACCAAACTACAACACATCTCAGCATCTAACTCGGCTGACTATGTCAAGTAATGGTAGG